AAAAAAAAAAAAAATCATATTGCAGTTTTCTAATCCTTAAATGTGATGTCTGCATTAGTTTTCTTTTTTTCAGCTTATTTTAGTTTATTTTCACTTGGTGATTCAGCCAGTAAATCTGTTATTTTTTTTTTTTACTTCCTTTAACAGATCACGCTGTCCAGCATAAGTTGCAGTTAGAGGGTTGAGACAAACAATTTAACACTGAAAGGAGGGGGCTTACAATGGTCAGCTTTTATTCATATATGTAAAATCTTTATCCCAAAAGGAAGAAAAAACTTTTGCTGTAACTGCATATAATGTATTAGCTGGAGTTCAAGTTTAAAGCAGACTCAGTGCAAAAACTTCTTCATTTGTCCTTGTCGCTGATTTCCTACCTTCCCTAAATATGTCACCCATCTTCTGGTTCACTCAGTAGTTGCTCTGAAAAAGCCTATTCATTATCAAATCATACAGTTAATTCTCTTTTGTTTCCTGTTTGTAAGATCGGTGGCTGCTATGTCTCCTATTCCCCCAGCCACTGGTCTTGGCACATCCCTTCTGTAGTTCTTCCTCCAGGAAGCAGTGATGTAATTGAGCCCCACTTGCAGTGGTGGATGGACTGAGACTTTCAGACACATTCAACATGTACAGGCCTAGTGTACCAGTATTCACTACAATTCCCTGTGGTTGATGGGAAGAGTAGTTTCCATTTACTGCAGAGAGAGAGAAGAAGATATGATGTAATTCCTGCTGTTACACCCTCCTCCTTGGCAGAGAAGATGATGTTATCTTTTGAATTACAGAGATGAGGTCATGAAAATTCAATTAGACTTTCCTCAAAAATGGTAAGGTTTTTCAAAATGTTATGAACTGTCTAGTAGTGTTTTGTGTAGGGGGTGTACGAATGGGTGATTTTGTTGCCTATCCTGGAGTTCTCCTTTAAAGGGTTAGTTCATATTTACCAAAAATTGCTTTTCTTAGTGCCAGCATGGCAGCATACATGTGGTAGTCAATTTCAGTGATGATCTCTGAAGGTTCTGGACCCATCCAAATTCTTGGAATATCAGGAGGATCATGTAAGGTTGCTCGATAGAGCCTGTGCCAATTGTTCCCTCAACAGGGAATTATCTAAGGATCCCACCATGAGAATGTTTCAGGAAGGCAATAAGCCTAGTATTGAGTCCAGCATCATAATACACAAGATGCACTACGGGAGGACAAGGGGTTCAGATGCAAGTTTTCCATAAAAAAATACAATATTTTCATTGCCTCCCTTCGCCTGGGAGACTTTCTGGCTTTTCCAGGCATCAAAGATAACTAATGTTCCTATAGCTTCAGCAATTTATGTGCCTTGTGATAGGACCTATGCACTGCTAAACTGGGGTCCTGCCCCTCATCCTCTTGTCAGCACTTTGTGTATGAGGATGCTGGACCCAGTACTAGCCTTATGGTTAAAATAGAATTGATACATTTGTGTGTGTGTGTATTATATATTTATATATAGGTGGGAGTGGAGAAACAGCAGTATACTGATCTTCCCAACAAATGACTGTGCAAGGGGGTGTGTCAGCACAAGTCTGATCATTAGAGGAAAGGCAGGCTGTTCTCCCAGCATAAGCAGAAAACTGACCATGCTGGGGAAAATATGCCGGCATGCCTAGTGTGGTCAGTTTTTAATAGCAATACAGAGGGACTGGCAGGAACACCAGGGATTTCAAACAAATGAAGCAATACAAAGAGAACAGGATACTTTTTCATACAAGTACAGCAGGCACATATCAGGAATAAGAAATAATGGGTTTTACATATTCTTTAGTCTTCATGCACACTAGACGTTTGTACAGCTGCTGTTTTTGGTTTTTGACATTTTTTTTCTACAGCCAGCAAACTCCCCAGCATGTTATCCTATGTGTCCATGCACACATAGACTGTAATCAATGTTTTTTGGCAGGGACGTTTTTTGGCTGGAAAAAAACGCCAGGACTAATGGGTTTCTAAAGGAGTTTTTTAGCTGTAAAAATGCTCTAACGCTTAAAAACGTGGCGAAACGTGGTAAATCGTGGCAAACCAGCATGAGTCTGAGAGATTCCAGTGTCAGCCAAAACAATTGAAGAGATGGATGCTGCTCAACCGACACCAGGCGTCCAATGTTGAGGAATGGCCTCAGCCAACGTACTGGGCAAGCCTTGGGTTGCCACCTCATCCCTTTAAAGCACATATTAACTGCTTGCCTGCCGCACTATAGTAGAAGTATTGCTACAGGGCGGCAGAGCTGCGCAAAATCACGCATATATACGTGATTTGCATTTCCGGGTAGGGGGCGCCCTTTTTTTTCGCTTTTGGTGGCTAGAGATGTCAATCAATGGGTCCTGGTTGGCAATTCTCTGCTGGCAATCAGTGATCATCTGGGAAAGCTGACAGGGGAGAGACCTGTGTGTAAACAACACAGGTCTCTCTCCTGTCAGCAAGGACATACTGCTTTGTATTTCTCTGCACAGGATGTCTCCGTAGTAAAACACACTCAGCACATAATGTGAAAAACACACAGCACACAGTAAACCCTTTCCCCAGATGTTAACCTCTTCCAGCCCAGTGTCATTAGTACAGTGTCAGTGCTTTTTATTAGCACTGATCACGGTATTAGTGTCACTGGGGATGTCAGTGGCAGTCAGTCAGTTCCCTTCAGTGTAAGAATGCCTTCTGCAGTCCCGTAGTCCCGCTATAGGTCACTGATCGCGCCATTACTAGTATATAAATAAAACATTTCCAGTATATATACCACCATTCGTAGATGCTATGACGTTCACGTAAACTAATTAATTTACACGTATTGGGATTTTTTTTTAGTAAAGACATGTAGCAGGATACATTTTGGCCTAAATTTATGACGAAATTTAATTTTTTTGAATTTTTTACTGCATATGTTTAATAGCAAAAAGTAGAAATATAGCTTTTTTTCTCAAAAGTGTTGGATTTTTTTTTAATAGAGCAAAAATTTAAAGATGCACAGGTGTTCAATTACCACAGACAGAAAGCTCTATTCATGGGAAAAAAAGGCCGTAAATTTCATTTGATTGCAGTGTTGCATGACCGCGCAATTGTCAGTTAAAATAACGCAGTGCCGTAATGCAAAAAATGGCCTGGTCAGGAAGGGGGGTAAATCCTCAGGAGGGCAAGTGGATAATTACACAGGTTTTGATGATAATTTAATGCAAAAAAGGCACTAAGGTGTCCTTGTATCATGCAGCGGTAAATGACCGCTGCTCAGTTATCTGGCATTCTCAGAGGAGAGAGTTCTCCACTGAACGCCTTTTTATGAAGCGGTGTAGATCAGTTCTCCGAATGAAGGGAGAAGTGATCTACAAACACGTTGAACACTGGAAAATGGCTGCTGTTACTATAATTTCATGAGATTACAGTAAGAGATCAAACACCGTTTACTAAGCAGTGATAAATTACCGCTGCTTAGTTTGCGGTTCCTCCGATTCTCCAGCTCTGGGCTGGAGAATCTGGAGGGAGAACACAGATCGCCAGTAAAGGGCTGACATCACTCGTTCATACACTGGCCATCTGTGTGCTGAGATGATCAGTGGAGAACATGTTCTTCGCTCATCATCTCTGTTTCCTAAACCACTAATGATAGGAGATCAGCAATGATCCTCAGGATCGCCGCTGATCTCTTTTTCATAAAAGGACACCTATGTGAGCAGGGGCGGACTGACAACTCATGGGGCCCCCGGGCAATAGGGGATCATGGGGCTCCTGTGTCCTTGCCCAAACTCAAAAAAGCCTATGAAAAAGGTACCAGGAGCATCTCATGGGGCCCCCTACTGACCCTGGGCCCTCAGGCAGTGCCCGAGTTTCCAAATGGTCAGTCCGCCCCTGTACGTGAGTTTATTTACCACCTTAATCAACCAGAACTAGGGTTGCCACCTCATCCCTTTAAAACAGAACACATTATTATTTACACAGGTTCTGTGGCTGATTAAGGTGGTAATTAAACTCACTTAGTGCCTTATCTGCAATAAATTAGCCTCAGAACCTCTGTGTTTAAAGCAGAGCTCCACCCAAAAGGGGAAGTTCCGCTTCAATGCTTTGTCCCCCACACCCCATTAAGGATTGGCACCTTTGGGGAGCGGGTACCCGAATTTGACAGGTACCCGCTCCCACTTCCGCTGGAAGATTCTCCACTTAGGCGATTGGAAGCGGAAGTTGTCCTCCCCCCCTCCCCGTAGTCTTGTGGGACATGTGACAGGTTCCAGCAGACTGCGGGGTCGTTCACAAAGCGCAGCGCTTCTCGTGCAAGCCGCCACACCCGGGTGCCACAGTGAAGATGCCGGCGCGGGGAGAGAAGACAACCAGTGTAACCAGCGGTGGTGAGGACACCGCTGGACCGAGGAACAGGTAAGTGTCTGTATTTTAAAAGTCAGCAGATAGTTTCTGAAGCTGCTTTTTATTGTTTTTTTCAGGTGGAACTCCGCTTTAATATTTGTTCAATTTTAAAGGGATGAGGTGGCAACCCTAGCCACGCCCTCTGATGCATTTTGCTCCACCCACTAGGGGCTTAGTCACAGAGGTAGGTACTTTCCTATCTATTTACTACTGATCGCAGCATAAGGATTAAAAATAGGCCATGTCGGTTGACAGTGAAGTTCCACTTTAAGTCGCATATGAAATCGCAGCAATGTGAACCAAGCCTTATTCCACTTAAATATTTCAAACAACACAGGATGGTACCTAGACTCAGCTGTCTGGTTTGAATCGCCTAGTTCCACAGTAATAACATGTTTATTTATACATAGCCTCATTCATATGGCAGCCATTGTTCCTGGGAACATTGGCTACACCTAAATGGCGTGTGTGAGGACGGAAAGACAAGCTCCGTGTATCCTCCTAGTGAGGAATGGCTGGCTCCTGGTCAGTCCGGTAATTTGAGGAGGGCAGTACACGAAGTGGTGACAGTGCTGAGCTCGGACTCCTTGTCACGTGACACCGGTCCCTCTCCGTTCTCTGTCTCCAGCATGCCGAGCCTGCCATTGGACCAGATCCAGGTCACCCAGAAGGATCCGGGGAGCGGAAGGCAACGCTCCATCAGCGCCCTGGTGAGATCTCTTCTGTATGACACATCGCTATGTTTATTACAAGGTGATGAGAGCTGATGAGGAAGCCATGCCTGGTGACTGGACTCTGCTCCGGCTATGACACTAGACCGCCTTTCTAATTCGGGTTGGAATTTGAAACTATGACCAATGTAGTCAGCATGTCTATGGGATGTAAGCAGAGAGGTATGAGGACACAAGGAAGCACCTATGCTGATGATGGCCTGGTAGAACCAGTGCTGTAATGCTGGCTACCTGTCATCAGACTGCTATTTATATAGAGATGAGTACATTGTCACCATGTGACCAGCTGATGACATCTCATTGCTCCAAGTCACCTCCAGAGCAGATAGCCAGGTGACAGGTACTCTTTATGGGGGCATCAGGGGGCTAAGCTAGTCATACACTGATATTTTCTTTCTTTTTTTTTTTTTAAATTAGAGCTAAAGTGCTGAGCGAGCGGATGGCAGGTTTGTGTCTTCTCTGCTGCTGTTTTCTATGGGAACGGACCACCTTTCTGTTTCCACCCGACTGTCATCCAATCAGCCAGCCAGATGGGGAGCGGGTTCCTATCCATCTTTTTATAGTGTACAGGATCGGATCAGATACTGGCGGGTGTCAGCGGATACATGACCCGCCACTCCATAGAGATCTGTGGAAGGTCTGATGAGGTTCCCCTGAAGAACTAAGAGGCGGACCCAAACGGACCATCGATGTGAAAGGGGCCTAAGGGAAAATTATAACCTATCCCTAGCCGTCTGTTTATAGTGTACAGGATCAGATGCTGGCAGGTGTCTGTAGACACATATCCGCTGACACCCGCCACTCCATAAAGAGCTATGGAAAGTCTGATCAGGTCGCCCTGAAAAACTAACCGGCAGATGCGCCGGATGGATGGTGAACAGATCCCCATCTATTTATAATGTACAGGATCAGATGCCGGCGGGTGTCTGTAGACACATGTCCGATGACACCCGCCACTCCATAAAGAGCTATGGAAAGTCTGATCAGGTCGCCCTGAAAAACTAACCGGCAGATGCGCCGGATGGATGGTGAACAGATCCCCATCTATTTATAATGTACAGGATCAGATGCCGGCGGGTGTCTGTAGACACATGTCCGATGACACCCCGCCACTCCATAAAGAGCTATGGAAAGTCTGATCAGGTCGCCCTGAAAAACTAACCGGCAGATCCGCTGGATGGATGGTGAACAGATCCCCATCTATTTATAATGTACAGGATCGGATGCAGGTGGGTGCCAGCAGATACATGTCCGCTGACACCCGCCACTCCATAGAGATCTGTGGAAGGTCTGATGAGGTCCCCCTGAAGAACTAACAGGCGGACCCAAACGGACCATCAGTGTGAAAGGGGACTAAGGGAGAATTATAACCTATCCCTAGCCGTCTGTTTATAGCGTACAGGATCAGATGCTAGCAGGTGTCTGTAGACACATGTCCGCTGACACCCGCCACTCCATAGAGAGCTATGGAAAGTCCAATCAGGTCGCCCTGAAAAACTAACCGGCAGATCCGCCGGATGGATGGTGAACAGATCCCCATCTATTTATAGTGTACAGGATCGGATGCCGACGGGTGTCAACAGATACATGTCCGCTGACACCCGCCACTCCATAGAGAGCTGTGGATGGTCTGATCAGGTCTCCCTGAAAAACTGACAGGCAGATCCACCGGACAGATGGTGAACGGATCCCTGTCTTATCTGTTTATAGCGTACAGGATCGGATCAGATACTGGCAGGAGTCAGCAAACACATGTCCGCTGACACCCACCACTCCATAGAGAGCTGTGGATGGTCTGATCAGGTCTCCCTGAAAAACTGACAGGCAGATCCACCGGACAGATGGTGAACGGATCCCTGTCTTATCTGTTTATAGCGTACAGGATCGGATCAGATACTGGCAGGAGTCAGCAAACACATGTCCGCTGACACCCACCACTCCATAGAGAGCTATGGAAAGTCTGATCAGGTCTCCCTGAAAAACTTAACAGGTGGATCCGCTGGACAGATGAACAGATCCCTGTCCATCTGTTTATAATGTACAGGATCGGATCAGATGCTGACAAGTGTCAGCAGACATATGTCCACTGACATCCGCCACTCCATAGAGAGCTGTGGAAAGTCCGATCAGGTCCCCCTGAAAAACGAACAGGTGGACCCAAGCGTACGGTCAGTGTGAAAGGGGCCTAAGGGAGAATTATAACCTTTTTTTGCCATCTGTGTCCCATTTAGGGAGATTTCCCTTTACTTCCTGTCCCATAGCCAAAACAGGAAGTGCGATTTAATTGTTGGCTGTCACTAGGACATATGTCCCCATTGGAAGATTTCCCCTGTATTCCTGTTCTAATGACAACCCAAAATTTGGGATTTTCTTTCACTCTCGGTCATAAACAGGACAAATAGGGCGAATCTTCCTAATGGGGGCATTAAAGTATATGAAAAGCAATGGGCAGCACAGTCGCTAAATGGTTAGCAGTTCTGCCTGGCAGTACTAGGGTCGTTGGTTTGAATCCCACCCACAACACCATCTGCCTGGAGTTTGCATGTTCTCCCTGTGCCTGCGTGGGTTTCCTCCAGGTGCTCCGGTTTCCTTCTACACTCCAAAGACATGCTTCTAGGTTAATTTTCTCCTGTCTAAATTGCCCCTAGTATGTGTATGTATGAATGTAAGTTAGGGACCTTAGATTGTACACTCCTTGAGGGTTAGAGACTGATGTGAATGTACACTATATATGTAAAGTGCTGCGTAAATTGACAGTGCTATATGAGTACCTGAAATAAATCTTACCTTGAAAAGAAATGCTATCAGTTGAAAATATAAATGAGAGGTAAAACATTTGTCTGTGTGTATGTGTATATAATATAAAAAGGGGAAAAAATGTATAATAAGTGATCACATACCCTCTGTTCTCAACGGCATAATGAGCTTGGGGAGGTGGGAGAAAAGAAGCAGCATACACTGATCTTCCCAGTGAAAGGCTGTGTGTGTGTGTGTGTGGGGGGAACACGTCAGCACAAAATCTGATCATTGGATGACAGGAAGGCTATGCTCCCAGCACATCCAGAAAGCTGACCACGTTGAGATAAATGTGCTGTCATGCCCAGTGTGGTGAGTTTGAAATAGGAAACCAAGGGGACTGGTAGGATCACCAGCTATCTAACGCAAAGGATGTATGTACAGCAGGAACATATTAGGAATATGAAAAGTTCTGCTTTAAGGCTTCATGCCCTGCTCCCCATTAAGCATTGGCACCTTTGGGGATCAGTGGGGGGAAGGTACCTGTATTTGACAGGTTTCCCCTTCCCCTGTGAACACTTTGGCTTGTGAAGACACAGCGAGATCGAGGTGAGTGGCTGTTTTTAAAAGTTTTTAAAAGTCAGAAGCTATAGTTTTGTAGCTGCTGACTTTTACTTATTTTTTAAATTTTGACTGGATCTCAACTTAAGTCTCGGTTCACACTACTGTGACCTGAAAGTCGTGCAACTTGCAGTGTGATGTTGCTAGGCGACTTGAGTACTACTTTGAAGCAACTTTCAGGGAATGCCTGGGTAATCTTCCTATAATGTCAGATCCAAATCCCATTAATATAGATGTGGATTCGACTTGGAGGCGACTTCTATTAAAGTCTATGGGCACAAGTCGGATAGAAGTCGCCTTGAAGTAGTACAGGAACCTTTTCTAAAGTCAGAGCAACTTCACAAGTGCTAATTAAGACAGCTCTCATTGACTAACATGGGATTTCACATGTCATGCGACTTGGGGTTTCATAAGTTGGATCCCCTTAAATACATGGCAGGCATTCTAATCAATTTCCACTCTATCCAAAACAAAAAAAAGTTTTTTCTTCGTTATACTGTCAGCATACAGTGTTAATGAAAGAATCTCCCACTGCAGCTATTGTTATTTGACAGCCAGCCTGTCAGCTGTCAAAATACCCAAATAATGGCAACTGATTGGATGCAGCTACTGTTTGGCCAATGGTAATTCAATCGATAGATCAGGTGGAAGAGTGGCAACAAGGCCATCCAACTGATCAAATTTTGGCTAGTTTATCAGGAACCAGACAAAATTGTCTCTGTGATTGGTAAGCTTTAGACCTCTAATGCCATGCCTATCCTGGGTGCCAGCTGATCAAGCCCGAGCTGTGCATGATCCAATATTTACCTTTGATCCTGACAGTTCTGAATGCAGAAATGCTCATAGCTGAGCGCTTCAGATTTCACACATTGCTGATTGGATGTTTCTCAGTGTCCTCCCGCTCTCTATTCTAATGCCATTGTTGGGTTATTTGCGGGGAGGAGGCTGAGGTTGGCACACTGTCAGCCCCATAAATCTCCCCGTCTGTGAGCTTATTTTGATCCTTTCAATGCCTGGGCATGTATGATATGCCCCGTGAACCTGAGTGGTTAAAGTAGAACTGTGAAGTATAATTTTTTTTTTTGGGGGGGGGGGGGGCGGGCGGGTTTGGGGTGAGTAAGGAAAGGTGAAAGCCCCTGTCAGGTGTTTGTTTCCCATGTGTAGAGACAACAGGTAGTGAGCAGAAATCGCTCTAGTGTGAAGGTAATCCCCTTATAGACAGTTGTCTGGGACAAGTTACCCCATTGGAAGATTCCCATATTGGTTTCTGGTCTGGTGGCAACTCTAATTCTTCTGTCCACTTTCAATAGAAAATCAAACGAAAAGTAATGAATCCAAGTCTATGGCAATCTGACATTTCTATGGTTTCTTTATTGCAAAAGAGCTTGTGATCCTAATCTCGGCAGAAAATTTTCGGTTTTGTTTTTTTAGGCCCCTTTTACATGACTGGATGGATCACGTCCGCCTGTCTGTTTTTCAGACGGACCCGATTGGACCACCCATTGTTCTCTATTGGGAGGCAGATGTAAACGGACGTTTGTTTACACCTGCCTGCATTCGATACAATCTGGTCAGACGAATGGGAATATGTTCACTATCCATTTAGCAGATTGGATTAGATGACAGGCAATCTGTTTTCATCTGGCCTCCCCATAGAGAACAGCAGGCTGTGTCCGCTCTGCACAAGCGGAGCGGACACAGACCTGTCATATGACTGCTCAGTGGGGATCAGTGGACAGATCCCCCGCTGTGTATGTGGATCCGCTTGATGAAGTCCACCCTCTGTGAAAGGGGCCTTATCCATTTCATTAATTTGGTTGCTTCAAAACCAGAAACTATGACAGATGTGCCTGACAGATTCATTAGTGACTGGAGGCTATAGTTTTTCTGCTTATCTCAACAGTTGTGCTGCTTTCAGTTACATTTCTTGAAGGCTGAAAAGGAGCTCCATTTCATCATCTATCATCTAATTAATCCTATTCTCAACAGAGATGTCTCCAGCCTTGCCAGTGCTGTGCTGATGAGTTATCTATTAGTCCTATTGTCCCCTCTATAAAGATCATTTATTTATTTCAGGTACTTAAATAGCGCCGTCATTTTACACAGCAGTTTACATATATATTGTACATTCACATCATTCCCTAACCCTCAGTGGGTGTACAATCTAAGGTCCCTGACTTACATTCATACATACACATACTAGGGACAATTTAGACAGGAGCCAATTAACCTACCAGCATGTCTTTGGAGTGTGGGAGGAAACAGGAGTACCCTGAGGAAGCCCACGCAGGCACAGGGAGAACATGCAAACTCCAGGCAGGTAGTGCCATGGTTGGGATTTGAACCGATGACCCTAGTGCTGCCAGGTGGAAGTGCTAACCATTTAGCCACTGTGCTGCCCATAAAACCTACGTTACAAATTCTGGTAATCTGCTAGTAAAAGCCCAAGCAAAGCATGTTTTTTTTTTTTTTTTTTCCATTTTCGTTAGCATAGGGATGGGTAAAGCCTTGTTCGGTTCCTATTTAACAGGTTTCTCCTCACTCAGAACAGAAAGTTAGGGAACCTTTTTTTCCATTTCCTGTCTGTTTGACAGGTTTCCTAGAGAACATGACATCAGCACAGTGGTTTAATGGTGACCACTTCTGCCTTGAAGCACTGAGGTCCTTGGTTTGAATGGCAGCCAGGACGCTATCTGCATGGAATTTAGTCATTTTTAGTCATTTAGTCATAGAATTTAGTCATGGAGTAGCATTTTAATTTTTTTTTATTCTTGAGAGTATGCCTAAAATGTTACTTTTGTCTTAGTGCAGACTTCTAAAAATCAGTGAGTCAGTCACACAAGCAGGGGATTCTATTTCTGGGGGTGTTCTCTACACCTTCTGTGTACAGAACTCCTCCAGGTTGTCATATTGCATTGAATTTTTTTGAAAATTACAATGACTTCTGATTGGAATGGAATGGTCATTTTTACTAAGATAAAAAAAAAATGGTTTCTGGAGCGATTGTGCTAAATTTGTTTTTATTAGTGTTTTGTTAAGAAAGAAGAGTTATCCTTTAAAATCTTTGCAATGTACACTGATCCCCCAGAGGGGGCTCTTTTTTTTTTTTTTTTTTTTTTTTTTTTCCCTCAACAAAAGTGGAGTTACATGTTATTTATCACTTATAAAGCTAAGTTGTCAACTTTTCTGTGTCCTTGTAATTCTGCAGGACCCAAAGAGAGTGCAGTCCAGGAACTTTATAACATATACTCCACCACCTGACAAATGTGGTCCTGCTGTTCTGGAGGAGTTTTTGGAAAGGGCAGATTTTATCACAAAGGATTTGCAATGGTTATTATCACTGCCACACGATCGTTTCTGGTGCCAGGTAAGGAGATATCAGCTGAATGTGGTTTATTTTGTGTGCTTTGTTGTCTTCGCTATCTGGACTGTTAGCTGTACTCAATATTCAGCCTCTGGTTTATTAACTAACTAATAACTACTGTTAACATGGATTTTTTTCTGAAGCGTGTGCTTTTTTAATTTTTTTTTTCTCCCCTAACAAATTTTCTACATTGATTCATTTTGCCTCTTTTTGTTGATGTGTTTTTTTTTTTTTTTTTCTTCTTCTGCTACAGGTGATATTCGATGAATCTTTGCAGAAATGTCTGGACTCGTATTTGAGCAATGCTCCCCGTAAATATGATCGATGTATGCCATTCCCGCCTGCTGTACAGCAGGTGCAGAACAAACTTCATCACTATGTTTTTCTAACCTTCCTGCGAATGTCAACACACAAAGAATCAAAGGTACAACTCTGTCACCTTTAAACAAAGTTTGTACTCCTAGAAATATAGAAACTACCATTTGATGGGCTGCTTCCTCAAATGCTAGTTGCCTAGTCCTCCCATAAATCAATACATGAAACAAAAATGCAGCTAGTTAGAGAAAAGTCAGAACTTGCTATTGTGGTTCACAGTCATCAGTGTGCACACTAGCTGCCCGAGGGCTATTTTTATGAAGTACCATTTATAAACAGCACCATATTTTTACAATATCACAGTAGGCATGTGGTTATCCTAGGGGCAGGAAGGATCAGTGATCATGTGACCACTGTAATCACATGATCAGAAGCCAGTCTCGCCAGCTACTGATGTTTAGTTGGGACCAAGAGCTGTTTTCGACAGCTCAGTCCTTGTGCTAGTAGTTCGCAGTGAGTGCACTTCCAGCACATAAACATCCCGCACAGCAACACGTATGTGAAGCATATGGGTGTTTAACCAGTTTCCTCTTGGCCAATAGCAAAATGACGGCCAAGCGGGACTTTCAGTGATCCGGGTGGGCGTCGTATGACATCCTCCCGGATCGCACCTCACGTGTGCCCACGGGGCGCACTGTGGTGAGATCTGTCATCCGCTGTGTCCCTTGGACACAGCCTATGACCGTTCTGTGTACCAGCCCATTGCCAGTACCATCTGACCGCTGTGACAAATCACAGCAGGTCACATGACAATTGTAAGCAATGAATGGCTTCTTGCCATCCACTGTATACAATTGTGTCACTAGCTTTTATTGGTCACAGTGATCACATGTACAGACTGGGCCAATCACAGCCCATCTGTATCATGTGATTAGCTGCGGCCAGTCACAGCTAATCACTACAAAAAAACCTGAATTAATAAAAATCATTCATTTTAAATGCTTGCTTATAACAGTGAACTTCCTTGCTATAAGCAATCATAATGTGTAAAAAAAAATAAATACTGATTGCTTCCCCAGAGTAGTGCAATGTTACTATGGTAACATTATACTACTCTCGTCACAGTGTGTTATTAAAAAAAAAATTGTGAAAAAATGTAAACAAATTTTAAATTTATTATTTTATTTTTTTTCGTACTGTCACCAATCAGTGTCCTTGATTACCACCATGCCAGTTATGATGATACTCTTACTGCACTGGTAACAGTATGTTGCAGAAAAGAAACAATTTGTGAATTTCCAAAAAATTATAACAAAAAATGACAACTTAAAAAAACTCACCATGCCACTTACTAAAGACCTCGGGACTATCTACTTTCCAAAATGGGGTCATTTGCGGGATATCTGTACTGTTCTGACATTTTTGGACCTCATGAAATAAGATTGGCCGTCAGTACTTCAGGACTGATCGATTTTTCAGATATATACCATAGATTGTAAACTCTCCTACAGACTAAATAAATACTGATTTGGGTTATTTTCACCAAAGAAATGTAGCAGAATACATCTCGGCTTAAATTTATGAAGAACAATTATTTATTTGCAAAATGTTATAGCAGAAGCAAAGAAAAACTTGTTTTTTTTTTTAGTTTTTTTTTTTTTTTTTTTTCAAAATTGTCAGTACTTTTTCGTTAATGTAGCAAAAAAAAAAAAAAACGGTGATTAAATACCACCAAAAGAAAGCTCTAGTTGTGTGAACAAAATAATAAAAATGTAGTTTGTGTTCAGCATTGCACAACTGCGCCATTGTTCAAAGTGCGAGAGCGCTGAAAGCTGAAAATTGGCCTGGGCAGAAAAGGTTTTTCCCTTTTTTTTTTTTTTTTTTTTTTTTTTTTTTTTTTTTTTTTTTCTTTTTAACATAACAAACATGTCATACTTACCTGCTCTGTGCAGTGGTTTTGCACACCGCAACCCCCCGATCCTCTTCTCTGGTCCTCCACCGACTCTTCTGGACTCTCTAGCTACTTGCTCTGGGGATACTCGTGCGTGCTTACTGCTGAGCCACCTCTGTGTGTCTATGAGATGCACAGAATGTGGCTCTGTCCTGCACTTCACTCCCACCTTACTGGCTGTGATAGACAGCAGTGGGAGTCAATGGCGGCTGCTGCTGTGTCTCAGCCAGTGAGGAAAGAAAGACCTGGGCGAGCCACTGCTCTTGTGCACATCACTGGATCAATCTCAGGTAAGTATTTGTGGGACTGAGGGGGTAGCTGTACATTGTTTTTTTTTTTGCCTTTTATGCATAGAATGCATGAAGGTAAAAAACCTTAAACCTTTACAACCTTTTTTGCTGCTACACATGTGTAAAGGGGTTAAAGAAAGGATGAATTGCTACAGAAAATACCAGTAAATATTCTTTATTTCAAGTGGCCTGTCTCCAGATTTTCTTTCTGAGCTGTTATCACTGCTATTTCATGCAAAAAAAAATCCTGCTTGCTGCATTTTTGTACCTTCGTCAAAGCACGTATTATTACAACGAGTTCAATGGTAACACATGTATAACACAACGCACCGTTACTGAAAAAGTGTGAACTAGACCTTAGTGCAGCAGTAGTCCTCCCACCCGTACATTCTGCTGCATGCAAATCACCTACTCCGACTCAACGTTTTAAGTTTCATGACTCTCTAAGAAAAAAATTGCACTGAACTTCATAGTTTGTAATTTTAGTGGGTGATAACAGGGTCTTTGCTTTTTATCTCATGCAGGAGCATCATATTACTCCCTCTGTGTTCGCTGAGATTATTTACAACAACTATCTTTTCGACATTCCAAAACTTTTGGATGTATGCATTCTGTTTGGTAAAGGGAACTCTTCTCTTCTACAGAAGATGATTGGTAAGTAAGCTTACTGCCAACGCAGTAAAAAGTCACTTCTCATATCCATGCTAAGTCAGTCCATCTTTGGTAAAGTCAACCGCTTTATCCAAAGCAGAGATGTCCTCAACAACCAGAACATATTGAAGCTGGCAGTAAAAACCTTAAAACATAGATAAGAAAAAGTGCACAGACCTGGCTTAGCAAACAACACTTTTTATCCTTGCTAAAATCCAACAGTCGTATTGCAGTTACATTTTCTGTGCAGGAAGAACACTTTGTACACAGCATGGGTGAGGAAGGGAAGATGCAGCCACAGGGCCAGAACTTCTGCATGCAGATTGTCCAATTTCCAGACTTGGAACACTCCCATGCTTAGTCTGCACACCATGCAGATAGTCCATTGTTGCAGCACATATTAAGCATATAAACAGTGTTTTTTTTTTTTTATTTTTTTTTTCTGTGTCTATTTTTCTACTTTATATGTTCTAATTGTATTCTATGTTTTGGGATAGCTGCAGTGATCTCCAATCAGTGGCTCATTCTGACACCCCACTCAGCATTTAATAGGTTTAACGTGGTTGCAAAGCTTAAGCTTTTTTACCTTTTTTAATACATTTCTTGCATTAAAGTAAAAAAAATGTTTAGGCATCAGTATTGCCCCCTCATTCCCCCCCCCCCCACCTTTACTCACCCCTGAGCCCTCAGTCAATCCAGTGCTGTGCCCATCTGCAGCTCATGTCTTCCCTCACTTTCTGGTCTTACTGGCTTTGCCATTAACTCCCACTGCTGTCAATCAAAGCCAGTAATAAGGGAGCAGGAAGTGGGGCCGAGTCACACTGTCTGTATCTATAGAGTCATGCAGCGGGGCTCAGTAGTGAGCCCGCACGAGTGCCCCTATAGAAAGTGGCTTTGCCAGGGAGGAGGAGGAAGGAGCCTAGGAAGAGGAGGTTCAGGGTCACTGCATGCAATTCCATCGCACGAGGAAGGGTAAGTATAAACCTGTCTGTACATTTTTTTTTTTTTTTTTTTTTTTTTTTTTTATAATGCATTTAAAATTACTTTAAAATAAAGCTTGACACAAAATATAAAAGTTTGCAAACCAGCAGGAATTTTATTGCAGAATATTATGTCTGGGCAGGGCCAGTCAAGATGACTGAAGATCCCGTGCCCAGAAGAAGACCAGGGGGAACATGTAGGCAGGCAACAAGGTAGCTGGAATCGATGGGAGTGTAGTTCCACTTTAATATACTCCCCACTGTCCCCTATAGTATATAATGTACAGCTGGTAGGCTTGAGAAAGGGTACCTACCCATGAAACGTTGCCATATCAACCATTAATGCAGGCAGTAGGAGTAGAGGCAGAGCAGAGCTCCCGGCTGCTGTAACAGACTAAAAACTGGACAGTCTTACTACAAAAATGTTAGGCCTGGTGGATGCATCTTCCCCCTTCTCACCCAGGTTGTGTGCAGAGCATTCTTCTAGCATACAAAATGTGAGTGAATTATGTTTGATTTTATCACAAGCAAAGTTTTTTTTTTTTTTGTGCTTCACCAGGTCTGTGCGCTTTTCTATCTTATATGATTTTTTTTTTTTTTTAACAATGCAATAATGTTCTTTCCTGCAAGGACTGATTTACAAAACTGGAACAATATGGAGCTGTGGGCACAACAGACAATCGTGTTTTCCTTTGGGTTCTGTTGGAAATTGCCGCATTTTACATCAGTTTTTTTTCTTTTGTATTTACAGGTAACATTTTCCAGCAGCAGCCAAGCTATTACCAGGATCTTGATGACAGCATACCTACATTACTACAGGTAAGAAAACCTTTGTGGGTCATTTACCAGAAAAAAATTATCTACACTTTAGTTCTGAAGTTAAAGTGTGTCTGTACCCAAAAGTTTTTTTTTTTTGTGTGTTTTGGATACAGTGGGGAATGCTTAAAAAAAATCTGCCTTTGCTCTTTGTATCCTGTTGGGGAGATTTCCTTCTACTTCCTTTCTCAGAGGCACAACAGGAAATATAGAGGAAATCACTCTGAATTATCTTAGATATTTTTCACCACAGCAGTTGTCCTCTCTGGGAAATATTTCTACTTGCCCATTTTTTTTGATGACAACTAAAAATTCTGGATTTGCCATAATAGGGTGAATCAACTTAGTTGTCACACACAAAATCTGGCAAGTTCTAACCTTTTGCACACTATCTAAAACTAAAACAAAACTGGTGAAAATAGTTTGACTGTGACCACTGCTAATATAACTGAATGAAGAACAACAACTTCTTAAATGCTTGAATTTGTGTACCCTATAATAAATGTATGGTGCAGGGGCGGACTGACCATTTGAGCACTCGGGCAACTGACTCGGGTCCCGGGTCAGTAGGGGGCCCCATAAAATGCCCCTGGTACCTTTTTTTTTTTTTTTTTTTTTTGAGTGTGGGTGAGAACATAGGGGCCCCATGATCCCCTATGGCCGGGGGGCCCCATGAGTTGTCAGTCCGCCCCTTGTATGGTGTATTTATTATATTTAGGCCTTATAAAATAAAATGGTAAAAATGTTTTCTTTTTTTATCCTGGTCGATGTGAAATCTTGCTTGTGAATATTATGAACATTTCTATCCAGTCAACAGCGTAACCTTTTAGGCTAGTTTTCACTTGTTTACCTGTAGCTCCTTTTGTGAAAACGCATTGGTGTTGATTTTTTAAAACTGGAGAACGCAAAATCTGGTGCAGCTGTGCATAAAAACCAATCCGCTTCCGTTTTTTGTCTTTTTTTTTTTTTTTTTTTTTTTGTTAAAACTTAATTTGAACAAGCTTAATTTAGAAGCTGATTTGCTACCATGCATAGCTGCGTCAGATTTTGCACTCCTCCAGTTTTAGTAAATCAACCCCTTTTGTGTTTACTGACCTCAACAGGTCAAGCTGAAATGTACGCACACAAGTGAATGAGCCAGCGCAGTGACTCCTCCTTATTGGACAGCTCCATTCAAAGCTTCAGTCATACAAAATTAGGTTTAAGGCAGAGAGTGTCTCTTTAGCTAACTCATAGTGCTCTGGGAATTCATTACTATGTTTTAAATGTTTATTTGTAAAACTGATATTGTAGACATTGGATTAGTATAAAACATTTAAAAACTTAAGAAATAAAACTGACCCAAAAACACTCTAGTTTCACTTTAAAGATACTGCTGTGCTGCAGGCACTGTATGGTGCCAAGAATAGGGACACCTTCTTCCACACCCCACAATGCAATTCTCAGTGTCTAAACAATCTGTCCCATGCTTGGGTGTTGCCTCTTTGTAAGTCCATACTTTCAGACAACCATTATTGTAAGATTTACCCTTGAGAGCAATAGGTGCTTTCAATGTCAGAAACAATTGTTACTGGACACATAGATTACACTGCTCCTGTGCTTTACTACCAAGCAGGAAGCAGAGCCTATGTGTTAAGTATGTACAGTTGTGTACATAATTTGCAACCCCCAAAGCTGTGAACCCCTTGGGTTTATAGTGTGAGTTTTGCATTGAATTGAGCATAAAATCCTACAAGGACGCTTGTAACTACCCAAATGCAACAATAAAGACATCAGTTGTGAACATGTAATACTACACAAAATTAGGTTGCTTATGTGGTTTCTTCATTGCCACAATTATTCAACCCCTTAAACATTCACAGTGCTGGGAAGAACAGAGGTATCATGAGGTGCTTTCCATCAGGTATTGAAAACTCCCAGATGTCAGCCAGGAGCAGCAATCAAGCATAATAAGCACCAATTAGGCAGCTTTAAAATGTGTTGATACTCAGCTCCTTAAAAACATTTACTGTTTTGGGTTACATGTCAAGAAGGCAAGAGAATGGAACCATCCAGGAAGACAAGAAGACCTACGATCAAGAGGTGTTTCTCTTCACAGGAAGGGAAATGGCTATAAGAAGATTGCAAAGCCTTGTTAAACATACCAAGAGACACCTTAGGAAGACATCATCTCGCAAATTCAGGCAAAGTTTAGCACTGTTGAACGCTACCTGGTCGTGGCAGAAAAAGATGCAAGAGCTTCAGCGCTGTGCGCTACCTGAGCGTAGAGTGGAGAGAATCCCCGTGTGTCTGCTGAAGAACTGAGAAAAGATTTGTCAGATGTGGGTACAGAAGTTTTTGCCCAGACAATAAGGAAAACACTGCGTAATGAAGGCCTCCGTGCCAGAACTCCCGGAGGCGAACCCCCTTGCTGTCTCCAAAAAGAATATTGCAGCAGTCGACTGCAGTATGCCAAAGAGCCATGTGGACAAACCACAACTTGTGGGATAGTGTTCTGTGGACTGATGAAACAAAATTAGAACTGTTTGGGCCCATGGATCACAACGCTATGTTTGGAGAGGAAAAAAGGCCATGCATGAAACATCAAAACACTTGCCTACTGTGAAGCATGGTGGAGGGTCAATCATGCTTTGGGGCTGTTTTGCTTCTGCAGGTACAGGGAAGCTTCAGCGATGCAAGGTACCATGAATTCCAGAGTTCAGTATCAAGACATTTTGATGGAAACGTGATGACCATCTGTCTGCACACACTGAGGCTCCGGGAGACGTTGGTGATTCAACAGGACAATGATCCCAAGCATACAAGTCCAATTCAACTAGAGCATGGTTGCAACAGGACAAGGCTAACATTTTGGAGTGGCCATCAGCAGTCCTGACCAGACTTAAATCCGATTGAGAACCTCTGGTGGGACTTAAAGAGCGAAAGCAGTTGCAGTGCGCAAGAATATTGTACACTGAAACAATTTTTGCCCATGAAGAGGATGGTCGAAAAATGACTCCAGATCGTTGTGCAAGACACTGATGTGTGCAACTATGCTTCAAACGTTTAAAAGCTGAGGTTATAACTGTAAAAGGGTCAACCAGTTTACTAAGTACTAAGATTGAATGTCATACTTTTTCCTCCCTGCACTGGAATGTTTACATGTTATGTGAAATTAAACCATGGCAACACAGAAAAGACATTTGTGTATTTCATTATAACTGTTCATGTTATACTTGTCTGACTTACAAGTGCCTCTTTAATTAAATGTACGCAAGATGACAATGATCAAAAGCAATGTCAAACTGGCCAAAACACTCAATTTCAGTGGGGGTTGAATAATTTTGGACACAACTGTTGTATGTATGTATGTATGTACGTACATACATACACACATACATACGCTAGGTTTTTAAAACATTGAAACATTAAAAGAAACTTAAACTGAAAGAAAAAATGTCATCTAGCATTGCTGACATTCCTCTGAAAATGGTGATTGCCTGGTCATTTTGCTAGTTGTATTATTTCAGTTCATTTGAATCCCTACCCATAACAAGTATACAGCTAAGAAAATCAGAAATCCTGACCTGTTTATTGATTCTGAGTCAATGATTCAGGTATCGAAGCCATTAAATCTAGGCAGCTGGCCTATTTAGCGACAGCAGTAATAGGCTGCCCATTTCTCCAAACATTATGACTAGAGATGAGCGAATCGAACCAGGCGAAGTGGAATTCGATTCGAATTTCAGGAAAAATTTGATTCGCGTCGAATCCGAATATTAGCCTACTTCGGGTGCACGAATCGGATTTTTCCCGATCAGCCGGCAAAAGTGTCCCTGCAGAGAGCTCCGCTATTTCTGACAGTTCTCTGACAGTTCCTTCACATGTACAGCGGTTGAAACATTGTATCTATTTGTTTCCATTTAGGATACAGATGTTTTTATTCGGAAACAGATACAATGTTTCAACCGCTGTAAATGTGAAAGTCAGAGAACTGTCAGAAATAGAGGAACTCTGCAGATACACTTTTTGCCGGTTTGGAATTATTCTTATTTTCATCCTACTTCTTCTTCTTCTCTTCATCCTCATCCTCAGAAGAAGAAGAAGAGGATGAGGATGAAGAAGTAGGATGAAAATAAGAAGAATTCCAAGCCGGCAAAAAGTGTATCTGCAGAGCTCCGCTAAGTGTATCTGCAGAGCTCCGCTATTTCTGACAGTTCTGTGACATTCCCTCCATACAGCGGTTGAAACATTGTATCTATTTGTTTCCATAAATGGAAACAAATAGATACAATGTTTCAACCGCTGTATGGAGGGAATGTCACAGAACTGTCAGAAATACAAATAGATACAATGTTTCAACCGCTGTATGGAGGGAATGTCACAGAACTGTCAGAAATAGCCTATCATCTATTCCCTCCATACAGCGGTTGAAACATTGTATCTATTTGTTTCTTCTCCTTCTTCTCTCATCCTTCTCCTTCTCCTTCTCATTCATCTCATCCTCTCTTCTTCTCATCCTTCTCCTTCTTCTCATTCTTCTCCTTCTCTCATTCTTCTCATCCTTCCTTCTCTTCCTTCTCATTCTTCTCATCCTTCTCCTTCTTCTCATCCTTCTCCTTCTCCTTCTTCTCATCTTCTTTCTCCTTCTCCTTCTTCTCATCCTTCTCCTTCTTCCTTTCATCCTTCTCTTCTTCTCATCCTTCTTCTCTCCTCTCCTTCTTCTCATCCTTCTCCTTCTCTCTTCTCATCTTCTCATCCTTCTCCTTCTCCTTCTTCTTCATCCTTCTCCTTCTCCATCTTCTCATCCTTCTCCTTCTCCATCTTCTCATCCTTCTTTCTTTCTCATCCTTCTCCTTCTTCTCATCCTTCTCCTTCTTCTCATCCTTCTCATCTTCTCATCCTTCTCCTTCTTCTCAACCTTCTCCTTCTTTCTCTCATCCTTCTCCTTCTCCTTCTCCTTCCCTTCTTCTCATGCTTCTCCTTCTTCCTCCTTCTTCTTCTCATCCTTCTCCTTCTCCTTGTCCCTTCTCCTTCTCCTCTCCAAGGGCATTTAAATTAAAGGTACAGTGTTCTGCACTAATTTAAAGGCTCTCTGAAGCCTAGAAACCCTTTTAATAAGTTAAATTCGTAGCGAATTAATTCGCATCGAATCGAATTTCTTCCTCAAATTCGTCGAATCAGCCGAATCAAATTTTTTAATAATTCGCTCATCTCTAATTATGACCTTTCAAAGCATAATTAAAAATGATAGTAAGACTATAGTTTCTATTTTAGGGTATTTTCAGTTGTATTTTTCTTTTAACACAGTGAATGCTGCTTTCTTGTTTACCAGTCACTTTTGGTCACAAAAGGTTAATGATGATTGTGAGCAATAGAAGTCCACCTTCATATATCTCTTCTGTCTTAATAGGGTTTGAAATGAATACCTAATAATTTTATAAGATTATTCTGAGCTAATCATTGTGCATTGGGTTTACCATCGCTTTGTAGTTCTAGTATTTGGTTTGTTGTAGAAGATAAATCTATGACATCCTAATTTTTCTTTATTGCACAATCCTTAAAGGTATTCAGTTCCATTATGAAGGTTTGTGGCCTTCAGCAGGATGAGTGTGAAGAACCCCTGAAGCTGGGAGATGAGAAACCTACATCACCTCTAGATATGGCAGAGCAGGTCAGTTGGTTATGTTTGCTTTACTAAAGGAATGGCATTTTCCCTCATATTCCTGGAACTCTATAATTTCTTTAATATTATTACAGGAATTACAAGATACAGTTTTTTATCTCTGTGACACATCCAGCACAATATGGGCGTTCCTCGAAATCTTTCCATCTGCCTCTCAGACTTTACAAAAACACAATTTCTTGAGTAGGTATGTGAGTATAACATGATTTTGTTTAAGTTCCTAATGCAAAAGATTTGCCCCTACATTTCTAACACATTGAAAGTCTACATGTTCTTAGTGCTGACATTGGGAAAAGACTAGCGACAGTAGTAATGCATCTTTCTTTAGTTAGGTCAAAGGCTGTTGCAACTTGGGCATCTAGGGCTTGGGGTATCTCTTTCCTTCTGGGCCTCCAGCCTGAATTATCCAATGTCCACATAGTATTGAAGTTTCAGTAACCACAGCCACCATTCACACACACATGCGCTGGTGATGTATTATTCTTGCATTGTTCATGGTTCTGCTTTGATACAGCATACTAGGTTTTAAACATAGCAGACAGGATATGACTTTACCTATTTATTTTTACTGCCATCTGTTTATTAGTGACAGTGGCTTTGCATCTGTGGTAATGCTTATCTCTGAGTGACAGTAATGATGGGGATGTTTGCTGTTCCCTCTAAGCTCAATGAGCTTGAAATGAAAAGGATATTAGTGATATGTTCTCTGTGAGCGTCTGATAAAGTCAGCCCAACAGAAGGAAAAATTGCTGATATTTAAAGGTTTTCATGCGTTAGAGTTATAAACCTTGAGAATAATATCCAGGGCAGTAATGTGAGGCCAGCCAAGTACATAGTTATTGTGTAACTCATTAGTAATGTTGCCCTTACCTCTAAAATAGGTGACATTTCATATGTTAGAAGACCATATACAAGTTGAACACCACATGGGTCTTGCACCATCAGTGACAATGCCTGCTGGAGCTGCACGACAGATGGAGCCATGCAAGAAATGCCAGCATGCCTATCCTTTTATCAAGCATTCAGTGTGCTTTTGTAGCATGCATGCTTACATACATATAGTATGTAATACTGAGGATTTGGGAGGTTATTTGGTCATTAGCCTTATAGGACAGCAATACTGGAAAGCACACCTTTTTTTTCTTTACAGCTGTCTGTACACCAATCAATCACTCCTTTCTTTCTTTCTTTCTTTCTTTCTTTCTTTTTTCTTTCTTTCTTTCTTTCTTTCTTTTCTTTCTCATCTCATCTCACAAACACATCTTATCTCATTAGTTACCGCAAGTGCAAGTTCTCAATAGAATACATACATTTGCATGCTTTTCAGCCATTTGAAGATTAGCAAAATGTTTTTCAACACACCAGAAATACAGCATGCAGAACTTTGCAACACTCCATTGGCCCTACTGAAAACAAAGTCAAATACAGGAAAATGAAAGGCAATTTATTTGAAGTGAACCAGCCCCAAATGTGTGATTCTTGTTTACCTAAAACCTGACTGGTTTGAAATGAAAATCTCCATAACTCTCTAGTATTTAACCTTGTGGTGCCCAGTCATTGAGTATCTGGTCATAGGTGGCAGCCAGTCACTTTCATTCACAATAGAGACACTGTGACTGATGCAAGTGTTTGAGACATGCATTAAAACCTTACAACCTTTTCAAAAGAAGCCATTAAATTGCCAGGAATCTTAAGTACAGATAGGAAAAAAATAGTTGCTGCTTACACTAAAGCATGTGCAGGGCATCTAGCAAAAATAAGGTCTATAAATCATTTTTCACATACGAAAATACGTCTGGTATGAACATGCCCTAACACATTTGAATTTCCTGGGGTATTTTTTGTAGATAAGATTATGAAAAATATTTGTTGAAACATTTGACTGGATGCATTCTTTTCTTTTTCAGTCTGAGTTCCTTTTATGAATTATGTTGCCCGGAGCTTGAATCTGCAATTATAAAGAGGAAATTTGCGGATAAAAGGTAAAAAAACCTACATATTCAGTATCAGAACTATCACTATTATTTCTGCATATATTTCCTCTAGTAAAATGGAATGTAATAAAACAAAATAAACATAAAAATGTCACACCATAATACAGAATTTGACACTACTTGTGTCCAGAGAACCAGGCATGGTGTAACTGGCACCATTACTTTTGTATAATTTAAAGCGATATTAAAGACAGATTTTTTTTTTTTTTAATTTTTTTTTTTTTTTTTTAATAACAATCCTGTCATAATTACCTACTCTATGCAATGACTTTGCACAAGGCAGCCCAGATTCTCTTCTTCTCGGGTCCCCTGTCGATGATCCTGGCCCCTCCCCTCCTGCCAAGTACCCCCATAGCAAGCAGCTTGCTAATGGGGCACCCGAGCAGGCTCACCCCTGAGCCACTGCTCTTTGTGTCCATCCACACACTAGCTTGGCTCGGTCCTGCCCCCCCCCCCCCGCTCTCTCCTCATTGGCTCACTGGCTGTGATTGACAGTAGCGGGAGCCAATGGCTCCTCCTGCTGTCTCAGCCAGTAAGGATGTAGAGTCCCCAGAGGGCTGTTGCTCTTGTGCACAATCTTGATTTCTGCTCCAAGAAGGGACTCGGGTAAGTATTTAGGGGGGGGGGGGGGGGTTGGAGATGCTGCTACACACAGAAGGTTCTTCATGCATAGAATGCCTTTACAACCCTTGAATAGTATGTGTGTGTGTATGTGTGTGTGTCACCATTTTTCTCAGTAAATGTTTTTTTTTTAAAGGTGCTATTGACATTTTCACCACATGTCAGAAACAATCCATTCATACAAAAAAAAACAAAAAAAAACTTGGTTCAGAAATTAAGTTGTGTAATAAAATGTAAAAGTATTGCACACATTGAGAGCGGGAGGTGTGTGTGTGTGTGCAATAAGCAGAGTTACCCCACTCAAATCAGGCCTGTATACAAACTACTACTAAAAATATAAACGCACAAGTCCACCGCAAGGTTAAAAGTGTGTCAGAGCGGTCTCATCTTACATATGATCTCTTCAAAGTTGGTTCAATGTCAATAAGTCTCCATTTTATCATAGCTTATGCCAGGGCTTAAAATTTCCACTCACCTGCTCGCATTTGGCGAGTGGAAATAATGTGGGGATGAGTCACTGGCAAAGCCGGAGCCACTATAAGGCAGCACAGGCAGCTGGGTAGACAGACACTGTCTCCTGGCATGCCCATCATATCACAGTAAACCCACCTATAGCCCCAGGGCACGCCCGCCTGAGTGACCGGGCCTGCGCTCAGTAGGTTTGTTTCGGGTTTGCCGGGATGGCGTTCATGGAGAAGAGACACCGTACCGCTTACCGCCGTCATAGAGGCCTGCCAGAGCCTGCAGTCCCACACTGTGAGTGTATTTGTGTGTATGGACTACAGGGAGGGCTGCGTGTACTCCCTGTGTGTGATCTCTACCACCATTCCTGTACAGGATACATGGGGGGTGTACATCACAGATCACTGACACATGTTGGGTGTACACTATTATTATTATTATTATACAGTATATAGCGCCAAAAGGTTTGCTTAGCGCTGTACATTATAGTGGGGGACAGTACATGAGACAATACAGTAACAAAACAATACATGAGGGGTTTGAGGGCCCTGCTCTTTCGAGCTTACAATCTAGGAGATCACTGACACATGTTGGGTGTACACTATAGATCACTGATACATGGAGGGTGCACACCAAAGATCACTGATACATGGAAGGTGCACACCATAGATCACTGATACATGGAGGGTGTACTCTGATGATAAATGAGGGCTCTCGTGGTAAAAGGGGACTCTGAAGGTACAGGGGAACTCTGATGGTAAAGGGGGACTGGGGTAAATTAGGGGCAGGGAAGGGTAGGGCAACTGGTGGCGAGTAACTCTTAAGGCCTGCTAGCAGCTATGGACTTGAAATTTTAAGCCCTGGCTTATGCTACATCCTGTGAATAATTAAATAACCCTTTTTTGCAGCTCACACAGACATTCCAACATAAACATGACATTTTAGGTAATGTAATTTTCATAAGTCCCACATGTGAGTTCACATGAAAATATCAATACAGCACACCAGAGAGTATTGGCTGTTAACAACCACTCCCGAGAGTATTCATACTCAGATATCACTTATGTGTGATTTTAGGAAAGTTTTTACTGACTATGAAGCACTTGGAACTTGACTTGGACTTCTAGATCATTTCCTTTACTGGTTTAAAGCCATTCTCGGCATTGTCCTCCCCCATGCACATTTTAAAAAGTCACATCCTTTTTTACAGCATTAACTCCTGGCTTGCAAAAGATAAAAGAAAAACCTCCCTGTAACGCACTGAATTATGGTATTCCTTTTGTGTGGGATTTAATGTACAGTGCATGACAACCAGTGTATCCAGCATAACAGGACCTTCATCCCACTTGTATTAGGGAGCGGGGTACGTCTGCGCTGACCCACATAAAAGGGTTTCATTTTAATGGCTTCATCAGTTTGCATACAGGGCAATGATCGACAGTTCATTTATGCTGGAAGGCTTTAAAGTGGTTTTATAGGTTGAAAGTTCTTTTCCTTCATGCATGCTATGCATGAAGGTAAAAAACCTTCAGTGTGCAACTCGCCCCCCCAATACTTACCCAGCCAGTGAGGTGGGAGCGGGGGGGGGGGGGGGGGGGGGCTGAGCCGTGCTCTGTGTGTCCTATAGACGCACAGAGGCTGCTCAGGAGCAAGCACGTGTGAGCACTCAGGAGGGGGGGAGGAGCCAGGAACAATGGCAGGGGACCTGAGCAGAGCAGGATCAGGTTTGCACAGAGCAGGTAAGTATGGTATGTTTGTTATTTTAAAAAAGAATCTGACCTTTACAACTGCTTTAAAGCAGTTGTAAAAGCTAAGTGGTTTTTTTTTTTTTTTTTTTTTTTAACCGTCATGCATTTGCGCATGAAGGTAAAAAGCCTTCAGTATGTTGCTCCACACACAGCCCCCCTGTTACTTGCCCGATCCAGAGATGTGCATAAGAGCAGCAGCTCTCCCCAGTCTCTCTCTCTCCTCATTGGCTCAGAGACAACAGTTGGAGCCATTGACTCTTGCTGCTGTCAATTGCGGTCAGTGAGGAAGGAATCGGGCAGAGCCCTGTCCTCTGTTTCTTATGGATGGGAGTGAGCACGCATGAGTGTCCCTACTGCAAGTGGCTCGGAGCCCAGAGCACTGGTTGAGGACCAAAGAATAGGAGGATTGGGGCTGCTCTTTGCAAAACCACTGCACAGAGCAGGTAAGTATAACATGTTTGTTATTGAAAAAAAAAAATTATGCCTTTAGTATCACTTAAATTAGTTCCTATCAAACTGGTTTCTTTCAAGGGACCATCCAGCCCCTAATGGGTATTCTTCTGGTCAGCCAGAGCTCCAATGACCAATTCTGATCTTACAATAGTCCCAAATACATTTTTAGCATGTGAATAAAGCTGCGGCACATTTAAAATGCATAATATCCTATTCTTCCAATACTATTAAATGGAAGGTTTTATTTAAAAAGAATAATTCTTGCAGGAATCATGAACACAGGTAATGTGAAACCTTGATCAATTCCCTGAAATATCAAAATGGCACACAAGTATGCATTCAATAGCATTCCTTCTAACGGAGAACCATATTAAATCTCCAATTCTAGAACTGACGATCAGTTGATAAATGGCTCATCAACTGTTCGTTTCAGAAGGTATGAATCTTAAGAATAAATCTCCCTACCTCCTATATATTTGCAAATACTCTAAATTTTTACATAACCTTGCTTTTCATTCCTCCTTCTTTTTCACACCATACATCTATATATCTGCAAAGGGAGAAAACGCTAAACTTTGACATACCTTGCTTTACGTTCCTCCTACCATATCTCACATCTGAGGCCTGAAACTCGATTTTTACTAGTATGTTTTTCAATTTTCTTTCTCTTCTGTCATTTAATTACAAGCCTACCAGACACTTATACCCCCTTCCTACCCAGGCCAATTTCCAGCTTTCAGCGCTGTCGCACTTTGAGAATTGCGTGGTCATGCAAAACTGCACCCATATGAAATTTTTATCAATTTTTTTGTGACAGAGCTTTATTTTGGTAATATTTAATCACCTCTGTGTTTTTTATTTTTTCTTAAACCAAAAACCACTGAAAATTTTGAAAAAAAAAAAGTTTTTATCTTAGTTTTTGTTATAAAATTTTGTAAATAAGTGATTTTTCTCCTTCACTGATGTGCGCTAATGAGGCTGCACTGATGGGCACTGATAGGCTGCACTGATGAGGAGGCACTGGTAGGTGGCACTGATGGGCACTGAAAGGCAGCACTGATACATGGCACTGTTAAGTGGCACTGACTGGCACTGATAGGTGGCACTGACTGGCACTGATGGGTGACACTGAAAGGCAGCTCAAATGGGCACTGATATGTGGCATTGATGTGCACTGGTAGGCACTGATATGTGGCACTGATGGGCACTGACACAAGGTACTGATGCACACTGACAGGTGGCACTGCTGGGGCTACACTGATCATCAGTGCTCTGATTATCAGTGTACATGTCCCCTCCGCGGAAAGCCGATTACCAGGCTCTCCTCTCGAGCTGTCAGAGTGACAGCTCGTGAGGAGATAACCGGCATTTCCATGTTTACATGTGATCAGCTGTGATTGGACACAGCTGATCACATGACTGAGCTGACATCTTTGTCTCTTTCCATGATCAGTGATCCGCTGTGTCCGAGGGACACAGCGCACCGCCGATTGCCAAGCTGCGTGCTCCCTGAGCCCCACATGCGCGGTGAGAATGGGAGGACTTCATATGACGTCCTCCCAGAACGAGAGAACCACCTTGCGTCCATCATATTAATATATGGCGGGCGGGTGGTGGTTAAAAGATCATTGACCCACAATTTGTGCAAATACCAGATCCAACTGAAGGACATGATAGTGTTTGTTGCTTATTTCGTTTCAACCTATTTGAATAAGCACCATGTCTAATGACAATCTGACTTTATTCATTGTCAGATGTTTTTTTTTGTTTTCTATTCCTCCCCTCAGAGGAAAGGGCCATGTACCACCTGAAGCACTCTTCTTTTTTTTTTTTTTATTTACAACTTTGCAGTTTGCATATCCTCTACTGCTCCATTTTACAAAATTTTAATCCGAAGCAACAGACCAACTGGCACTTTTCTGAGTAGAGCAATGGGAACTATCCGCATGAAGTGGTGAATTACATGCTTCAGAAAGTCTTAGTTTTTAAAGGTCTTCCCTCGTGATAAATATCCAAATCCAAAAACTAAATCTTTTCTTTATCAAAAGTTAAAGTTAGCAAAACATTATTTGTTATTCAAATACACAACAAATTCCAGAAATACCTGAGGGGTGCCTCTCCAGTCTATCATCATGTCATCCAGATACTGAATCCATAGTGTGCACCAAAGCTTGCTAGGGGAGAACATAGGTTTCCTTTCAATGGGTATTATGGATGCGTGCATAAGCTGGTGCACATTCTACTCCCATGACAGCTCCCTGTAATTGTCTAAAATAATATCCATTAAAACCGAAACAATTATTAGTGAGTACAAATCATAGCATATCCAACACAAACTCGTTGCTCAAAGCATTTTAGCGTGCAGGCATATATTGTCTTTCTTGGTTTTTTGATAATTATAACACTTTTACACAGCTGAAAGAAGCTGCTTAACTTACAAAAATTACAATGTTTTGTGCTAATAGTAAGAACTCTAAAATAAGGTTTGTTTTCTGTACAAAAAGTTCATAGTCTGCAATGTCAGATTAATGTCAAGCTGCAGTAAACGGTACAAGAGAATATCACATGAGATGAATATAATAGCCTGATTTTTTTAGATTAAGTAGAATGCACAATGAAAAGATTGGTAGTCTACATTGTTTTTCAAGGCTGCCAAGTACTGGACTGCATATTAATTGTTGTCACATATAAATGAATGTATAGAAAAGTACTAACTGTTTGTAGTTAGCAATTTCAGCACCTCATCAAATGAAAATATAATCCTTCTTTTAAATAAACCATCTTTATCTTTTTAGTGAGACAGATTATAACAGAGTTAGAACTGCAAATTGGAGCAGTACACAGTAATAACTGCTACTATAAATAAATCCCATATTCTAATTGCTGGGTGTAAAAACAAATTCCAGTCCATGGCTGGAATGCATTGCAACTTGGTGTTTTACTGACAATGTCCTGCTGTCTCAGCTAGAAGGGAAACATGACATAAACTGCCCATGATGTAGATGGACAGAATATAGACTTGCCCCAAATGATAAAAACTTGATGAAGCTATCTGAACTAACCATTCTTTGTCTACCAGCTTTCATAATTTGCTGAGAATGTCCATAAAAGTAGTCAGATGTGGTTGTTTGCTAGGAAAGTATAGCAGCCAATGAGGGGTCTTTTCACACAGTGGGTATAGAAAAGAATCACCCCTCCCCCTTTTTTTTTTAAAGTAATGACATGTTGTTGCTTTGCAGCCTGAAATGAAGACACACAGTTTTTGTTTTATCCAGCTCACTCAGTGCAACTCATAACATCCAAGTGAAAGATACAATGCCAACATATCAGAAAAAAAAAAATCCAAAAACAGGATCGCTGAGTTGGAAAAAGGATCGTTCCCCCCCCCCCCCCCCCCTTCCTAAAAAAATCACTTGTAAACCCAACCGGTTGTAGCTAATCACCTTTTTCAATAGCACACAAAGCCATTTGACTTTCAACTGTGATCAGCTGTGGTCATTTTGGTTAGCTCAGCACGAAAAGAGCTTTCCTGGAGCATTTCAGTCCCTGATAGTGCAGCTTAAGCAAACAACTATGGGTGGCAAGGCACTGTCAAAAGATCTCCAGGGTAAAGTTATGGACTGACATTAGTCAGGAAATGAAATACAAAAAAAAAAGTCAAAGGCTTTATCAATGCCCAGGAGCACAGTGAAGCCCTTTATTAAGAAACGGAAGGTATTTGGTACAACACAGACCCTCCCTGTATCAGAACGTCGCTCCAAACTGGATGAAAGAGCCAGGAGGAAACTGGTCAGAGAGGCTACCAAGAGGCCTACAGCAACTCTGAAGCAATTGCAGGAATTTATGACAGAGTGGTCAATGTGTGCATGTGACAATATCACAAATTCTCCACAAATGTGGCTTGTATGGAAGGGTTACAAGAAAAAAGCCACTGCTCAAGAAAAGCCACATGCAGTCATGACTGAACTTTGTCAAGATGCACCTTTGGAGATTCTGAGGACACATGGAAAAAGGTGTTCTGTGTTGATGAGGCTAAATTTGAATGATTTGGCCTCAACACTGAACGACATGTCTGACGGAAGTCCAATGCAGCTCACCATCTAAATAACACCATTCCTACAGTAAAGCATGGAGGTGGTAATATCCTGTTATGGGGGTGTTTCTCTGCAGCAGGGACTGGAGCACAGGATAGAAGGAAAAATGGATGGGGCAAAATACCGTCAAATTATTGAGGGAAATCTGCTGCCCTCTGCTAGACCGTTTGTCACGATGGAAGGTAAACCTTCTTCCCATTGACAATGACTCAAAGTAAACAGCAAAAATGACCACAGAATGGTTGAGAAAGACGTGAGTGTCTTTCATGGCCTAGTCAGTTCCCAGACTTAAAAGATTCCATTGAAAATCTATGGAATGACTTGAAGACTGCAGTCCACAAACGGTCACCATCAAATTTAACTGAACTTCAGAAGTTCTGCAAAGAAGAGTGGGCAAATATTGTAAAGTCTAGATGTGCAAATTTAGAGACGTATCTGAACAGACTACAGGCTGGAATTAAAGCAAAAGGTTGTTCAACAAAATAATGACACAAGGGGTGATCCTTTTTCCAACTCGGTGATTTTTTTGATTTTTGTTTTTAATTCTGACATGTTAGTGTTCTATCTTTCACTTGGATGTTATAAGTTGCACTGAGTAAATACAGCTGAATAAAACAAAAATTGTGTCTGTCTTCATTTCAGACAACAAAGCAACAAAATGTGATTATTTTAAAAGAGTGATTCTTTTCTATACCCACTGTATGTCCAGAACATCTTGATTTTGTGCTTCTAATGTATTTTGTACATGATATGTTTTCTACAGTTAGTAGACCCCAGTTGGGGCACAGAAAATGACATCTTTTACTTAAATATGAGGGAGAAGAAGGGCATGGTGTAAAGTAACCTCTGATATATCTGTCCAAAAATAACACAGTAGGGAATTGACTGAAAAAAAAAATCCCCAGTGAAGATTTATAGGTAACATTTTAGAAGTGTTAATTGTGCTTAGGCATTTCCCTGAAAATTGTCTTGAATTCTTCCTAAAAAATAGCAGTGTACCTTCTAGTATGTGAGGGTGTATAGGCACTCCTATGGTTATAGCCTCAGCTCCAAATTTACAGTATGAGATTTAAAGTGATTATAAATTTTTTTTTTTTTTTTTTGTACCTCAACACATTCCCTGTATTAAGGTGAAAAACCTTTTCCCACTTCCCATACCCACTGAACACTTACATGACTCCTGTATTGATCCAGTGCTGTGTCCAGCTGCAGTTTCTCACAGGATGTTCGTGCATCAGCTGGAGTTATTGGCTCCTGCTTCTGTCAGTCAAATCCTGTGAACAGAACGCAACAAGGCCCTGCCTGTGTGTGTGTGTGTGTGCGCACACTGCCTTGAAAAATTATTCACACCCCTTTAAAATTTTGCACATTTTGTCATGTTACAAACAAAAAAGTAAATATATTTTATTGGCATTTTATGTGATTGACCAACACAAAGTGGCACATAATTGTAGCAATTGTAGAAGGAAAATTATAAACGTTGTTCAAAATTTTTTACAAATAAATGTCCTAAAAGTGTGGCGTGCATTTGTATTCAGCCCCCTTTACTCTGATTCCCCTAACTAAAATCTAGTGGAACAAATTACCTTCAGAAGTCACCTAATTAGTAAATTGAGTCCGCCTGTATGTAATTTAATCTCAGTATAAATACAGCTGTTATTTGAAGACCTCAGAGGTTTGTTAGAGAACATTAGTGAACAAACAATATCCTGAAGGCCAAGCAACACAGCAGACGGGTCAGGGATAAAGTTGTGGAAGTTTAAAGCAGGGTTAGATTATTAAAAAAAACAAAAAAGATATTGCAAGCTTTGAACATCTCACAGAGCACTGTTCAATCCATCATCCTAAAATGGAAAGAGTATGGCACAACTGCAAACCCACCAAGACATGGCCGTCCACCTAAACTGACAGGCCAGGCAAGGAAAGCATTAACAGGTTCCCTCCCCGCCTATAGCAAGATGGCAGCCTGCAAAACCTCTCGTCCCTCCGAGTGGATGCCATATGGCATCCTTTCGGGCATGCGCAGTTTGCATGCCCGCAGTGCAATCTGTCACCGGCTGTGTACCTCGGACACAGCCGATGACAGATCTGAGTACCGGGCCAGTTGCCGGTACCATGTGACCTGCTGTGACCAATCACAGCAGGTCACATGACAGTTGTATACAGTGGATGGCTTCATTCATGCCATCCATTGTATACTAGTGTGTCTAGCTGTGAATGGTCACAGCGATCACATGCACAAGCTGGGCCAATCACAGCCCAGCTGTGTCATGTGATTTGCTGTGGCCAAATCACAGCTAAGCACCAAAAAAAACAAAAAAAAAACAATCCTGAATGAATTGTTGTCATTCTTTGCTATAAGCAAATTGTGTAAAAAGAAAAAAAATACTGATCACTTCCCCAAAGTAGTACCATGTTACTATGGTAACATGTTACTACTTTGGTCATAGTGAAATATGAAAACAAAATCTTAAAAAAAAAGAAAAAAAGTAATAAAAATAATTTAAAAAAATTATAATTTTTTTTTTTTCCATACGGTCACCAGTCAGTGTCCCTGATCACCGCCATGCCAGTTATATGATGACGCTGTACTGCACTGGTGACAGTATGTAAAAAAAATAAAATAGTGAAAATTATTTCTTTAATACTTTCATTTTCCGAAAAATTATGACAAAAAAAATACAACTTCAAAAAACTCGCCATGCCTCTTATGAAGTACGTCGGAGTGTCTACTTTGCAAAAAGGGGTCATTTGGGGGATATCTGTACTGTTCTGACATTCTTGGACCTCAAGAAATTAGATTGGCTGTCAGTACTTTAGGAGTGATCAATTTTCAGATCTATACCATAGTTTGTGAACTCTATAACTTTCCTACAAACTAAAAAATACATCCTAATTTGGGTTATTTTCACCAAAGACATGTAGTAGAATACATCTTGGCCTAAATTTATGAAGAACAATTATTTATTTGCAAACTTTTATAACAGAAACAAAGAAAAACGTGTTTTGTTTTTTTTTTTCTTTTCAAAATTTTCGGTCTTTTTTTTGTTATTTTAGCAAAAAATAAAAACCCCAGTGTTGATTAAATACCACCAAAAGAAAGCTCTAGTTGTGTGAAGAAAATGATAAAATTTTAGTTTGGGTACAATGTTGTATGACCGCGCAATTGTCATTCAAAGTGTGAGAGCGCTGAAACCTGAAAAATGGCCTGGGCAGGAAGGGGGTAAATGTGCCCGGTATGGAAGCAGTTAATCAGAGAAGCAGCCAAGAGGCCCATGGTAACTCTGGAGGAGCTGCAGAGATCCACAGCTCAGGTGGGAGAATCTGTCCACAGGACAACTATTAGTTGTGCACTCCACAAATATGGCCTTTATGGAAGAGTGGCAAGAAGAAAGCCATTGTTGAAAGAAAGCAATAGGAGGACCTATTTGCATTTTGCGAGAAGCTGTGTGGGGGACACAGCAAACATGTGGAAGAAGGTGCTCTGGTCAGATGAGACCAAAATTCAACTTTTTGGCCTAAAAGCAAAATACTATGTGTGGCAGAAAACTAACATTGTACATCACCCTGAACACACCATCCCCACTGTGAAACATGGTGGTGGCAGCATCATGTTATGGGGATGCTTTTCTTCAGCAGGGAAAGGGAAGCTGGTCAGAGTTGATGGGGAAAATGGATGGAGCCAAATACAGGGCAATCTTACAAGAAAGCCTGTTAGAGTCTACAAAGGACATGAGACTGGGGCGGAGATTCACTTTCCAGCAGGACAACAACCCTAAACATACAGCCAGAGCTACAATAGAATAGTTTAGTTTAGATCAAAGCATATTCATGTGTTTAGAATGGCCCAGTCAAAGTCCAGACCTAAATCCAATTGAGAATCTGCGGCAAGACTTGAATATTGCTGTTCACAGACGCTCTCTATCCAATCTGACAGAGCTTGAGCTATTCTGCAAAGAAGAATGGGAAAAAATGTCACTCTAGAGTGCAAAGCTGGTAGAGACATCCCCAGAAAGACTTGCAGCTGGAATTGCAGTGAAAGGTGGTCCTACAAAATATTTTATCATTTTCCTTCCACTTCACAATTATGTGCCACTTTGTGTTGGTCTATCACGTCAAATCCTAATAAAATATATTTACCTTTTTTAGTTGTAGCATGATAAAATGTGGAAAATTTCAAGGGATATGAATACTTTTTCAAGTGTGTGTATGTACTGTATATATAGACATAGCTTCTTCAGGTCCTCTTTAAATTGCCATTTGAAGACATGGTTAATGCTGCATGCTCTGTTTAGTTAATGAAGAACAGCATTACAATAATAAATGTATTCCTGCATTTTTGTGATTCACTTTTCTTTGCTAGCATACAGCTGGATCTTTGGAGAAGGTTGTGTCACTCCAGAAAGAAGTTGTTAGAAATCTCTCACATCCTTATCAGCAACACCTGTCTTCAGCCCATTTTGGAACGCAGGTTAGAGGAAAGCCAACCCAGCATGCTGCACAATGCTTCATGTCTTGAGTATGGCCTGCACAACCTAAACATATTATTTTGTTTTTACAGTGCAGAAAACATTCAACCCTATGTGGAAGAATTCTTGCAAATATTAACACATCTTCTTCCAGAAAGGCGGTAAAGATTTTTAAAATGTGCTACTGAGATTAATTAGCTTTACAGCACTTTGTCTTTGATTTATAAGCAGTTAGTTTTAAGCCTGGATAAAATTTTCCTCCTGGGTTCTGACAAATTTCTCACTCATGTCCTGTATCTAGCCCCAAAGTATGGCTAAAGCATCCTTCTAGAATCTATGCAGCAAAAATGAATCCTATAGAAATATAATTTTTCCAATAAATAATGACTATCTTAATTATCTCAGAATGTTCCAAGAAGCAATTTGCAATATTTTCTATTTTCCCTGTATTAACAAAAATTCCGGAACAGGAAAGAGCTTTCTTTTCGTTGCTTGTTGATTGTACTTCCAGGGTTACATTTTAACACGCGTATGCGCTGTAAGTTTTTTTTTTTTTTTTTTTTTCAAACTTTATCTGCTCTTTTATTGGGGTGTTTTCAATGCACCTTACCACTTGTCATGATGACTTTGTGGGGTTGAATCCTCCATTTTCTGTTGGACTCTGGGTGTAGTTTCGTATGTTGTGGTTTCTAATTCGTTTCAAGGTACTTCCCTGTTAAAGTCCAGTGCCAGGCACAACAAAAAAGGTGCACCAGTGATCTAGGTTAACATAAATACCACCAAAATGGTTGATGTGGTGCTCCCTTTTCAAGATTTCATTGATGGATAGCTGAATTCCCTCCTTAGATCACAGTTTGATTAACTGGCTTGATTTTATGCCCTGCGTTTTGACAGTAACCAATGAGTAGAATCCCTTAGAGTATCCCTCCACTGTGAGCGTAGGATCAGTTTTATAGAGTGGCTAGAGCAAATGTCTGGAGCTTTGTGCTTTTAGATGTAATGGCTTGCTACAACTATGGGAAGGTTAGCAGATTAGCTCAAGGTTGCACTTTCAAGGACTCTCATTATTGTTGTGTGGGTTTTTTTTTTTTTTTTTTGGGGGGGGGGGGGGGGGGTTGTCCGTTTGTCTGAACTATAGTCACACACATGAGCTCTGGCTGTTTCTTTGCAGCCACACAGACTTATGGGAAGGGCGAAGCCCTGAGACAGTCACTCCCAAACTAAAAGGTATTGTGCACTGCTGCACAATCAGTGGGAGCTGGTGATTCACAAAATATGGACCCAACGTTTGGAGAATTCATCACTCCTAATGCTGTTGCTTCAGGGCTATGGATGCTTCGCTGGACAAGGGAAGGTCATAACACTGTGTTCTCTTCCATGTCATGGAGAGTGTTTTTCTGTCCGATCCTGGAGACACCTTTTTGGGTGTTTTTGGTGGACGGGTCTTGCTCATGCTCCTAATATTCTGCTATTAAGTGCACCTGTCTGCCTTCATGGCTGCCTGTCCTTGTAAAGGTGCCTCCTGAGCACCATCCTTCTTTAGTCATTTGTTGGTTTACATCACGGGTCTTTTTGACTTTTGAGGGACACAGGTGTTGCCTATGAGTTCGTGTCCCTCAATGGACTCCAAGAAAAGGATTTTGCTGTGAGTACAAAAATCATATTATTCGTTACCTAATGACAATATCCCCTCAGTGGGAGTAGCTGTCAATTACTAGGGGTAAACCATGCAGAAACGGATCACTTCTTAGGCACGTTTACTGCAAGATTGCAAGCTGAATAATATGCTGATGCATCATCACATCAGCTTGTAATACCCAGCAGGACCATGCATTCTAGGGTGACAGCGCTACAGTAAGTGCCCATGCAGTCTGATACTGGCAGGTTCACCAGGTCGAAATAATGAATACCAAAAGTAAGTTATTTTATTATTCCCAGGCATGCTTTTATCTGACTAATTTCATCTGTTTAATGGTTTAGTTGATTTTTAAAGCATTCAAAGACTTTTAAAGGATGAGTTCACCTTTTGGAAAAATAATCAATGCACATTTTTTTTTTTTTTTTTGCAGGTAAAAAAAAAAGTGCATTTATTATTTTTTGCTGTATGAGCCTGTAAAGCATTGTACCAGCGATCAGTAGATCCTGGTGCCATGCAAGTCTCCTGCAGATCAGTCAGTATATCTGCTTGCCCGTATGGGATGTACAAGCAGATATACTGACAAGAAGATTCAATGAACACCATGGCGCACTGTGGTAGTTCATTGAGAACTGCAAGCTGACAGTTGCTAAGGCTGTCGGGACATGTAGTTTTTTCATTCACAGAGGAGTGACGTGACCGGTGGGCAGAGCCCCTCCTGGCCACATTTTTTATTTATTTTTTTAATTTGACAGCTAGCGGCCAAAGTGGGAGATCGGCGGTTGTGGGGGGTGCTTTCATGACATGTTATATGTTATACCCTGAATATGGATGTAACATGGTACAAAATGTGAACTTTATTCTTTTAAATTAAAGTGGTGCATGTTATATTGGAGGTTGAAGTGCTGTCCTATTACCTAGTTATTGGCCCATCAGCATTTTTGTAACTGTACTCAGAAGAGTGACTTGTGTCTATGTTTTTGTATGTTGCCTGCAGGTTTCTGTGTGATTACGATGAGCAGTTCCCAGTAGCTGAGGATATCGGCTTGCTGCAACAAGTTTCCCCTTCACTGTATCCTTTTAACAAATCTTATAACAGATAGAATTGATAGGGTGGTGTTTCGTTTGATATTTATCTATTTTTAAGGAAACCTGTAGTGGTTGTCGCAGTAAAATCTGAACTTGAGAGTGTTGGCATGATTATCAGGCAAGTAGTATTTTCAGGAGGGATCAACAATGCAATCTTTTCAAGTTTGTGCTTCTATTAAATATTAACAAGTACTACAGAGGTATACAGTATAGTGCAGTGTTATGGTTTATCCCAACCCTTGTCACTTTTTTATGATCTGCTTGTGGTCTGCCAGTTCATGTGTATTAAATATACATTCCTAATAAATTTGAAATCTAGAAACTCCTCCTTAATTGCAGAGTAGTCGTGGTTAGCATATATGAATAAACCATCCATCCCTGTTCGTTCACTTTGCAGCCGGTTTGTCTTACTGAAAATTGCTTTATTAATCCTTTATACTTGTGAATGTTTTTATCCAATTTGAATAAATTGTTCTTTGCGGAATTACACTAGTGTGGTATATCTACTTTATATGCATGCACGCTGTTAATATCCGAGAGCGGGATGCATTATATCTGATGAGCTGAGCCGGATGGTTTATTCATATATGCTTACCATGACCGCTCTGCAATTAAGGGTCATGGAGCTTCAGTAAAAGTCTTTCCTTATGGGCACGGTGGATGAGTTTACATGTAGTTAGTGTGTTTTGCTGGTATTGGGTGACATTGGATTAAGTGGCTTCACAGCATTGGAGGACTTTTTTCACTTGAGATTCGATTCCACATGTTTGGAACTTTTTTTTTTTCACCTTCTAGAGTTACATTGATTGTTGTTATATACCGTGTTTCCCCAAAAATAAGACACTGTCTTATTTAACTCACCAGAATATAAGTAAGCAAGAGGTGGAAATAAATTACAAGTGTTTAATAAGATGGCACATTACACCGAATGTTGAACATAAGATGAGTGAGGAGAATTCACCGGAGTGTTGGCGGGGGTGTGGAAAGATAGGCACGTTCTATCGCATATGGTGGGAGTGTCCAAAAATTCAAGTATTTTGGAAGACAATGGTTCATTTAATTGGGATGATTTCTGAGATGAAGATAGGATTGGATCCAGAGATTTGTCTATTACATAGTACAGAGCTATCTGTGAACAAATACAAGGAATCGGGTATATGGTACTATCTAAATGCGGCAAAGGGTTTGATACCCAAGTTTTGGCATAGTTCAGAGGTGCCGAGAGAAGAGGAATGGTGGATAGAGTGAATCAGATTTGTAGGATGGAGAAATTGTATTATATGCAGGAAGATAAGATGGTGTTATACTATGTGAAATGGGGAAAATGGGAAGAATTTGTACTTAAGGCGAAATATATGAAGCTGTAGAGAGAGATATGTGAAAGCGCCTTTCACGTTTGCAAGGAAGACGTGGAGAAATGCAGGGTGGGTGGTATTGGGGGGGGGGGGGGGGAATAGATATAGAAAGGGATATAATTGATGGTTTTGAATGTTGTATGAGAAAATGATGGAATATGTATTTTATCTGGAAACTTAATAAATATTTAAATAAATAAAAAAAAAGACACTGTCTTATATTTTTTTGGCTCAAAAAAACTCACTAGGTCTTATTTTCCGGGTAGGTCTTATTTCTTGAATGTACTGGTGTGGACAGGAGGTGCAGAGGTGAGCTGCAGGCAGTTGTGGGTGAGGGTTACTATAGAGAGGGCCGGCTGATGACAGATGACAGTTGTGAGCTGCAGTCAGGTGTTGCAGAGGTGAATTGACAGGTGAGTTTCAAACAGAGTGCAGATATGAGCCACAGACGGGTGCAGGGGTGAGTTGCAGACAGGGGATGCAGAAGTGAGCTTCGGGTCCTATCTTCCCACACAGTGCACCAAGGGCACTCACCACTCCGCCTCTTCCTCACTGGCCGGTGATCACCCCTGGGGCATTGGCTTCCATGCATTAGGCTGCAGGAGGAGATGCTCCACCCCTAAACACACTGCGCCCGCAGATATCTGTTCCTTCCCTGTCCCACACCGAGTACAGAGGTAAGGAGGGTCTGTTCTGTGGGAGCGGATGGTGATGTTACTTACAAGAGGGATTGTCACTTGGAAACACAAAAGCCTCGCTTCTATGTTTATAGGAGACAATAGATATTGGTGTACACAGGGCCAGTGCCAGAGGTGGTGGAACAGCTGACCACAACTAGGTCTTATTTTCAAGGTAGGTCTTAGGGCTCGTTCACACTTGGCTGTTTTACCAACGCTTGCCAAACGCCCCTATAGCGTTTGGCAAGCGTTGGTCCGGCGTTTGCAGAGCGTTTTTTAACGCTTGGCAAACGCTCCGCAAACGCCGCATGCGCGGTTTAGTGGCGGTTGCTAGGCGTTTGCCGAGCGTTAAAAAAAACGCCCCACAAACGCCTATAATGCAGTTTGAATGGTGTTACCGCACAACCGCGTCGCAACCGCACCGCAAACGCGGCGGCGTTTGCGGAGCGGCACCATAGACTAGAATAGGAGGCTTCAACGCCTCCTGACTCGACCAGAGGCATCCGTTTTGCCACGACGCGACGCAAACGCTCCTGTTAGAACAGCACCATGTGCTGTAATGTGCAGAATTGCCAAAGGCGTTTGGGAAGCGTAAAAAACGCTTCCCAAACGCCTCTCTGCCGCCTGCACACAACGCTAGTGTGAACATAACCTTATACTGCAGCAATTCCCCAAAACAGTACTAGGTCTTATTTTTGGGGTAGGTCTTATTTTTGGGGAAACAGGGTGTGTATATGTATATGTATGTTTTATAAATAGCTTTTTCTTCAGTGGTTTAATATGCAGGAGTTTCTACTGTATGTTTCAAATATAGTAGGAGTGTGTATTTAAAGTGGAACTGCACTGCATCTGAGCATCACAAACCAAAAATGCTATTTACTTACTTGTTAATTTGCAAAGCAAACATATCCATCCACGTCTACATGCTTTATTTTGCTGAGAAATTATTTGGAAAAACAATCTCCTAGCATTTCTGGCAGTGTCCATCTTGAGTAAGGGCAGATGGTTCATGTAGCACACAGGTGTCAAACACAAGGCCCGCAGGCCGAATCCGGCCCTCCAGGCCATTTCATGTGGTCCTTGCACATCTCCTGCAGGTACTCCCTTGTCTCTGCCCCTACCTTGTCTCAGCAGTCCCCAGCAGAGAGGAGAATAGAACAAATCTGCCAAATCCTCCTCATCCCCGCACCCCCTCATCTCTGACTCCCCTAGTCTCAGCATTCAGCAGACTCTAGTAACTGACTCCACTCCTTCTCTGGTCCTCCTCCAGACCCTCTACTTTCTACTTTCCAGCTCTGCCCCCATAGGTGGTGCATGGTGATGTTAGGGAAAGTGTGGGATTCTTGACATCTGATGTAATGGGGGTGGGGTGCTCTGGACATCTAGTCTTACAGATACAACCGGCTCTTTGAGGGCAACCATAATGCTGATACAACCCATGGTGAAATGGAGTTTGACACCCCTGATGTAGCATTTACTTCTTGGAATCCATCTGCCCTTACCTCAGGGATTGGCTGAGCTGAGACCCTTCCCCCCCCCTTTGCTCCTGAGGACTCCTGGAACATAAGACATCATTTGCCTAGGCCTGGAAACCAGGAAGTAACTGAAATGTGTTTTTAAAAAAAAAAAAAATCAAAAGTCAATATATACTTTTGTATCCATTTACTAATGCTAGCAGCATGAGGATTAAAAATCATCCTTGTTGATTGAAAGAGTGAAGTTCCACTTTAATTATTCATAGTTGTGGGATGTAGCGTTGCCTTTATTTTGTTGGTTTCAGTTTATGTTCACTTACCAGAACATATGGTTAGCTACTCTATCCCCTGAAGACTTCCTGGGTCATGAGTCCGCTTTTATTTTATGAGATTTCTCATCAGTACATTTCATGACATAATGATTACCGCTCAAAAGTATTTCAATAAAAGTTTGCTTTTAACATTTTGATTTTGAAGTGAATGGACTTTTCCAATTAAAAACCACTTCCACTGTTAGAAAGTTGTTAGAAAAAACATTTTCCATCTTGTGCTTTCAAATTTCTTGTCTCTGTCGAAAACTGAACATTGATTTGACCACACTAACAAAAAAGTTTCCATTCTGCTCCTTTACATTTACTTGTCACTTTGGTCACAATTGAACATAGATTTGACCCCACTAACAAGTAGTGGGTTCAAAATTGAACAAATGTTCTTAAACAAGTAAGAGTTATCCTTTAACTTGTTGCAAGTGATGAGACTCGAACCACTTACCTATTGAATGGTGTGAAGAGCGCATGGACTGAGGCTCGGAAATTCAAACCACACATTCCAATCCTTGCGCCGTCCTGTGCAGAGAGAGTTACTGAAGGAGCATGTGGAAGTACAGAACAAAACTCACAGTACCTAGATGAACCTGAAGTGAGTACTCACTAACTCTGCCCCTATAGCCCCTCCATGTATTGATTTCTTTCCTTTCCATGCAAGATCTCGTTTCTTCATTTTACATTTTTTTTTTCTTCCTACTTTGTGTTAGTGCTTAGGAGCCGCAGCAGCACCTTTGCCAAGTGGAGTGGAGCTGGACTCCTTGGTGTCACAGGTGAAAGATTTACTCCCTGATCTTGGAGAGGGATTCATATTAAAATGCCTTGAAGAATATAATCACAATGCTGAAATTGTTATTAACCACTTATTGGAGGACAACCTGTCACCCCGTCTATGGGAACTAGATCGCACCATGCCTAGGTATGTAGAAGCAGTGAACAGCTGCCAGTGTAAATTTTTTAAATTAATGTCATGTAAACCCAAAATTTTTTGCTATCATTTTTTTTTTTTATTCTCCATATTGGACAGGTTTGTTTTACAATAATAGTGATTGCCAGACATGTTATAAATATAAAGAATTGTATATGCACTGGACCTTGTACAGTATGTCAGTGTTGTCAGTCTACAAATGGACCTGGGAGTTGAGTGCATTTTTGGCAACTCAGCGATTTTTATTTTTCTGTACTTGCAGGGTCTTTTTAAAGGAAAAGGCACAGGGAAAAGTACATACATTGTGGAGTTGTTCTGCAATTTTTTTGTCTTGGCATACACCTTCAATTACAGTCAAGTATTTACATATTTGTAGCTAGCAGTAAATGATCCTTAAAACAAGCCTTCTGGTCATACTGTGAAGAAATAAATTCTTAAATTGCTAAAGATCATGGGCAGCACAGTGGCTAAATGGTTAGCTCTTCCGCCTGGCAGTACTCGGGTCGTTGGTTCAAATCCCAACCACAGCACCAACTGCCTGGAGTTTGCATGTTCTCCCTGTGCATGCGTGGGTTTCCACCGGGTCCTCCGGTTTCCTCCCGGAACACTGGTTTCCTCTAACACTCCAAAGACATGCTGGTAGGTTAATTGGCTCCTGTCTAAATTGTCCCTGGTATGTGTATGTATGAATGTGAGTTAGGGAGCTTAGATTGTACGCCCCTTGAGGGTTAGGGACTGATGTGCATGTATAATATATATATGTAAAGTGCTGCGTACATTGACAGCGCTATATAAGTACCTGACATAAATAATAAATAAGTCCTCTCAGCAACTTGGCTCCTTCTCCTCCTCCTCTCCGCAGTGACTTGACAGACTTCTAATCTCTTCAGTAAACAGAGCAGGTCCTCTGGAAGGGGGAGCAGGGTGGACTGAGCTACTCAGAAAAAGACTTTAGGCCTCCTTCGCACTTATGCGTTGCTGGAACATGAACAATATCACATGCATTCCTCCAGCATGTGAAAATGTGCAATTTTCTGGCAGGCATGCTGAGGTGTCATGCATTCCGTGTGACACCAAAACGTGCACTAAATCACACTGTAACACCTGGTGACTTATTGCTGTGTTTTGTAGTGTGATACAACAAACAATCGCATCATTTCTTTAGTGTGATTGTTGCACATAGGGCAGCCCATTGAATGGAATAGGTAGCCCTAAATGTAAAGCGCAAAAAACACGAGCGCGCTGTTGCACCTGCATATGTGTGAACAGTCTTAGGGCTTCTGTAAAATGTTAAAGCTGAACTCCAGGCAGATATAAAATACACAAATAATGCAGCTCTGTATTCATTAAGCCCTAACAATTAACTTCTCTTATTTTTTTTCCTTTTGGTCTATTAAATAGACCATTGAAAACATTTTGTTATATTTATTTGATAAGTTAAAAAAAAATAATATAATGTTGCTCTTAAATTCAGAACTGTCCTGTGTTACCTTAACCACCGGTTCACATATGTGCGGCTGCGCAGGCCACAATTTGCGCTGGCATGAGAGCCCATTCATTTGAATGGACTCCCGTGCCCCGGGACATGCAGGGAAGAAGTCCCTACACTTCTTCGGAAATCGCAGCCCGCACGGAAATTGAGGTTCACAGTACGGTTGTGATTTCCAGTGCGGCAGCGTGCCATTAGAATTAATGGCGCCCGCTGGTCCCGCATTCCTCTGTGTGGGTGGTGCTGCTGCGGGTATTTGTGCGGGTCCCGCATTCCTCTGTGTGGGTGGTGCGGCTGCGGGTATTTGTGCGGGTCCCGCATTCCTCTGTGTGGGTGCTGCTGCTGCGGGTATTTGTGCGGGTCCCGCATTCCTCTGTGTGGGTGGTGCTGCTGTGGGTATTTGTGCGGGTCCCGCATTCCTCTGTGCGGGTGGTGTGCTGCTGCGGTTATTTGTGCGGGTCCAGCATTAATCTGTGTGGGTGGTGCTGCTGCGGGTATTTGTGCGAGTCCCGCATTCCTCTGTGTGGGTGTTGCTGCTGCGGGTATTTGTGCGGGTCCCGCATTCCTCTGTGTGGGTGGTGCGGCTGCGGGTATTTGTGCGGGTCCCGCATTCCTCTGTGCGGGTGGTGCTGCTGCGGTTATTTGTGCGAGTTTCGCATTCCTCTGTGTGGGTGGTGCTGCTGCGGGTATTTGTGCGAGTCCCGCATTCCTCTGTGTGGGTGGTGCTGCTGCGGTTATTTGTGCGAGTTTCGCATTCCTCTGTGTGGGTGGTGCTGCTGCGGGTATTTGTGCGAGTCCCGCATTCCTCTGTGTGGGTGGTGCGGCTGCGGGTATTTGTGCGGGTCCCGCAGCAGCACCACCCACACAGATGTGAATCTAGCGTAAATCATTCTGTAGTCCTAAGATAAGATTTATGTTGTGGATATGGGAGTTTAAGTGGGCTTGAGTAGGTTAGCAGAAGACACCTGATAGGACTGACAGCACTCAAACCACAAAAAAAAGCTTTGTGTTGTCAGCCTTTAAAAAGGACCTGGGAGTGGAGTGCGTTTTTGGTAACTCAGCGACCTATTTTTCTATACTTGCAGGATCTTTTAAAGGATTAGGCACAAGGAAAAGTACATAAATTGCACACATGCACTGCATTTTTTTTGTATTTGCATACACTTTAATACATAATACATGTATTTAATGCAAATTTGATTTGGTATCAGCGTCTTGCAATTCTATGTACAGCAGAGCTTTGACTGGGAGTGAACATGCAACACTGCAACCAACTAAATGGCTTTTAGTGTTGCATGTACAAACAAGGAAACTTGCTGATAGGAGGAGAAAGCAGAGTGGCAGAGACATGAGCTCATCAGTCTGCCGCTTCTCCTTCTATTGTCCAGTCACAGGTTGGGGGAGGTAAAATACATAAGTACAATTGTGTTTTCTACCCTGTCAGACAGGGCTATTTTGTGGAGCAGAGCTGTGTAAATTTTAGACCTGAATGAACAGAAATACAAATTCTTTGGCAAGCAAGAATGCTTCCGTTTGTTTTTCATCTACAGTATTTACCTGGCTGTTTGCCCAGTGTCCAGCTTTAACAATTAATTTCTTCAGAGTGCCCGTATCCTGGATTATGTCACAAAAAAAACAAAAAAACAGATGAGACTTTGACTTCTTGTAACAGTGGTTCCTCCTCGGGAACTCTTACTCCTCATTGGCTGAGACAATAACAGGAGCTATTGGCTCCCGCTACTGTTAATCCCACAGCCAGTGAGCCAATGTGGAGAGAGCGGGGGAGGGGGGGGGGAATGGGTGGGCGAACCGTGCTGTGATAGTGTGTGAATCATTTAGTGAGCCACTTGGGTGCCTCCATAGCAAGCGGCTTGCTATAGGGGCAGGAGGGAGGGGCCCGGACCTCCGGTGGGGACCTGGGAAGAGAAGGATCGAAACTGCTCTGTGCAAAACCACTGCTTCGGAGCAGGTAAGTATAACATGTTGGGTTTTTTTTACTCTGCCTTTAATATCACAACAGAAAAGATTTGGCTAGAGATACTTAATATTTAAAATATAAAGTGTATCTTTAGCCTGACTTAACCATTTCAATACCGGGCAATTTTACACCTTCCTGCCCAGGCCATTTTCACGTTTCAGCGCTCTCACACTTTGAATGACAATTGCGCGGTCATACAACATTGTACCCAAACTAAAATTTTATCATTTTCTTCACATAACTAGAGCTTTCTTTTGGTGGTATTTAATCACCGCTGGGGTTTTTATTTTTTGCTAAATTAACAAAAAAATACCAAAAATTTTGAAAAAAAAACCCTTTTTCTTTGTTTCTGTTATAAAAGTTTACAAATAAATAATTGTTCTTCATAAATTTAGGCCAAGATGTATTCTGCTACATGTCTTTGGTGAAAATAACCAAATTAGGATGTATTTTTTAGTTTGTAGGAAAGTTATAGAGTTCACAAAACTATGGTATAGATCTGAAAATTGATCAATCCTGAAGTACTGACACCCAATCTAATTTCTTTTTTTTTTTTTAAATTTAAATATTTATTCATTTTTCATTTAAAAACAATACACATTTCCATAATTTGAAAATATAATAATTACAATTTCTCATAAAGCACTGGTTTTACGTATCATTTTCATTTTCTCCCCATAGCTCCCTTAACCCATTACCCGCCCCACCACCCACCCCACTCCTATATACCCCTGACATCTGACTGATTAACTTGCACTCATATTCTCTGGATACCTAGGTTTGAGAGCAAAAGAAAGAGTAAAGAAGAGAGAGGCTAATTACTATATTTTCTCCTTTTTCTAATCCTTTCCTCTTTTTCTCTTCGTTTCTTCTTGTCCTCTCTTTCCCTTTTCTTTAGGCTATGCATACTTACTCAGTACCTTTCTTTACCTTTAACTTTGAACTCCATTTCATATGATAATGTCACCATCCTATCTTCATGTAGATAATAGAGTTTTTCCAAACTAGCAATCTGGATCTACTCTATTTCATCCAAACTGTCCGGTTGCTTCAACTTTACGCCAAAACTTAGGAATCAGACTTTTGCTGCATTTAGGGTAGCCCAGTATATCATTCTTTTATATTTATTTCCAGATAGTCTTGAGTTATGGAAAAGACAGATTTCTATTCTCAATCCTGTCTCCATTGCCAGGACAATTGATGATTTGAGCCCACCCATATGTGATACTGTGGCCCAACCCGTCCACATCCTCGCCATATACACCATGGTTGGGGCGGCTTCTCCTCCCTCATCTGTGCTCTATCACCGGTGTAACATACCACCTGAAACAGAAAAATATTTCCACTTGCAATGGCTAATATTTTAGTGTACCAGTACTATGAATACCTCTGTAGTGCTCTTTCCCACTCCACTCCTAAATCCGTTCACCCATGTGTTCTGATATATTTAATCTACTATCTAATTCCGTGAGAGCTTTACCTGGGTCAGTGAGTGTTGCCCATCACCTCTATCTTCTAAGTATG